CATTTTTTTTATTAGTAATATTATTATTAAATTAGTATTATTTTTATTACTAGGGATGCACTGATACCAGTATCAGTATCAGTGCCGAGTATTTGGGTGAGTACTCGTGCCTTGTGTAACAACCAGACCCCACAGGTCTTATTTTAGGTGGAGGATCACAGCTGCAGAAGTATGAGGAGGGGGTGCAATCCTACACCACAGTGAATTTACAGTCTTATGGTAATGAGTTAGGCAACAATTACTTAGCATGAAAAATAGATGAGGTTTTATTGTAGGGAGCAGTCCTTTTAGATTAGTGGGGTGAAGGATGACAACAATCAATGGGAGCAATCAAGTTATCCCTATGCACAGTTCTATCAATATGCAAGCATTTGGAAATCACAGTCTGTGGTATGCTTACTGCTATTTTAGTTGATAGGAATGATAAGGAGAATGTTGGTGCCCTCCGGTGGATCTTTAGAGTAACTGCAGTCCAGATTGTAATAGTCCTTGCTGAAGCTGGGGATGAAGGAGGTAGTGGAGACCGAATTGCAGGGCTGGAGGGAAGTCAAAGCAGGATGTGCTGGTGGTTTTGGAGGGGCTCTGTCCGGCCCAATAAGAGGAAGAGGTTCGGTGCTGGGATACAGGAACTTGCCTGGCGTCTTCACACTTGCTCGAACGTCAGGCAAGTGTAACGTTCAGCCTTAACTAGGGAGTGGGGGAGGAGTCCTGGAACGAGGAACAGGTGAGTGATCGAGTGCACCTGTTACACCTTGTCAGATACTTTCGGTATTAGGAATTAGTTATTACACGCTGCGCGGCTTCCTGATTAACTGGTAAGCCGGCTCCATGCTCCCTCCTCACTGCATCATTACACCGCGCCCGGCTTTCTGATTGGCCAGAAAGCCGGCTCCATGCTTTCTCGTCACCTAGTGATGAGAAGCATGGGGACGGCTTCCCTGCTAATCGTGAAGCTGGGTGGCGAGTCTTCACACGCTGCCCGGCTTCCCGGCTAATCTGTAAGCCAGGTGGCGAGTCATTACACGCCGCCTGGCTTCCTTAATGGGACTTTCGGTATTCGGTATAGGCAAGTAACAAAAAAATTAATATCCGTACTCGTACTCAATACTGAAATACCGGTATCGGTGCATCCCTAATTATTACTGTTGTTTGGGTCCCCACTGGAAAGATTTTCCCTCACTTTCTGTTATGGTGACAACTAGGGATGCACCGATACCGATACAAGCATCGGTATCGGCCACACAACACAGGTGAGTCAAGAAAGTGGTATATCCTAAGTAAGAACACAGACAGCAAAGAAAACCCAAGGCTCTAACCTCTCCTTACTGTGTGCACATTTAATAAGGTTTTTAGTGGCATTTTCCTTAAAGCAGAAGTAAAGTGGGGAGAAAAAAGGCCTCCAGAGGTGTTTGCCATAATGTGCACGTATACCCAGCATATTAGCACATTATGGCGGCGGACTTATCATGTAGGTGATCCCCTCCAGCACTGCGCTGTCCGCTCTCCCCTCTGTTGCTGGCGCTTCCATCGTCACTCACTTTTCTTCCCGGTTGATTGGCCAGGCAATACATGCTCATGGGAGTTACTTAATTTCGCCACTGGACCTTGCCACGTCTGTGCACTGTGCTGTACATGTGCGCCTCAATCCACAGATAAAAACGCATTTGCTTTACACAGTCTGTTCTACTCCACCGATTGGAGAGCTCTGACTCACCAAAAGCCATGCCGTATGTCTGCAGAGAGAACGCTGCTTCCACACAGAGAGAGCAAAAGCCCCATTCTGCAGTTGCTGGTAGGGGACAGCATTTTCTACGTATACTGTATGTGCTTTCTAAAGAAAATTATATGTAAGATACCAGGGGGGTCCTCAGGTGTTGTGTCACCCAGAGCAGCCGCCTGGGTGACAACCCGCTGAGATGTCATCACACATGCGCGTGATGACTACACACTATACACATAACAGCTATGTGTGTAGTATATTTTTATTGGTTGCTTTTTCCTTTATTTATAAGCTCTGCAAAATAAATGGTAATCTGGCACTGGAGCAGCATTTCTCAACCTTTTTTTAGTCACAGCACCCTTTAAAAGTAGGAATGCATCGATACCGTTTTTTTGGTATCGAGTACGAGTACCGATATTTTGCTTGCGCTACTCGCCGATACTGAGTACCGATACTGGTGTTTCCGATGGCATGGAGCCGGCTTGCCGGGCAATCAGGAAGCCGGGCGGCGAGTAATGACATGCCGCCTGGCTTCCTGATTGCCTGGGAAGCCGGCTCAATGTTGTTCGGCCTGCTTAATTGTGATTGGTTGGGAGACTGGCTTCCCAGCCAATGAGCATCGAGCCGGCTTCACGGCCAATCAGGAAGTCGGGAGGTGAATAATGACCCGCCTAACCCGAAGTTCCGGTATCGGAGCATTTGGGCGAATACGAGTACTCGGCCAAATACTCAGTATTGGCACCGATAACGATACTAGTATCGGTATATCCCTATTTAAAATTATGCAAAATCTTGAGGGACTCCAGTCTAAAATGTAAGAAAATTCACATCAGAATCCTTCCTGTCCCCCTTTAATCCCTCTTTTATATCAGGATCCCTTTTACATTAGCAACCCTTTCCTTTCACATCAGTGTACCCACTCTCATATTTGAAGCCCCCCTTCACATTAGAAGCCCCTCTTTACATCAGAGCCCCCTCTTTTGACATCAGCTCTTTAGACAGCTACAGAGCCTCGACTTCTGTATTATTTTTGAAGGGTGTTTCTTTATCATGGCAATGAGAACAGCACATACTGTCCCTTCAAACCTACACTGATTAAATATGTATCTGGATAACTGACTCCTGCACTCTGCATACTTGCTCCTTACGGCTGCATTACTTACTCCTGATCCCTGCACTCTGCTTTACTTACTCCTTTTCCCTGCACTCTGAGTTACATAGTCCTGTCCCTGCACTCTGCTTTACTTACTCCTATTCCTTGCACTCTGATTACATACTCCTGTCCCAGCACTCTGCGTTACTTACTCCTGATCTGCGTTACTTACTCCTGATCCTTGCACTCTGCGTTACTTACTCCTGTTCCCTGCACTCTGAGTTACATACTCCTGACCCTGCACTTTGCGTTACTTACTCCTACCCCCTGTGTTACTTACTCCTGATCTCTGCACTCTGCGTTACTTACTCCTGTCCAATGCACTCTGAATGACATACTCCTGACCCTGCATTACTCACTCCTGACCTTTGCACTCTGCGTTACTTACTCCTGTACTCCGAGATACATACTCCTGATCCCTGCACTCTACATTAATTTCTCATGGCCCATGCGTAATTTACTCCTGATCCCTGCACTCTGCTTTACTTACTCCTGTTCCCTGCACTCTGAGTTACATACTCCTGATCCTGCACTCTGTGTTACTCACTCCTGACCTCTGTGTTACTTACTCCTGTTCCATGCACTCCGAGTTACATACTCCTGACCCCTGCACTCTACATCACTTACTCCTCTCCTCTGCACTCTACGTGACCTCTGCAGTCTGCCTTACTTACTCCTGACCTCTGTACTCTGTGATACTTACTCCTGACCTCTGCAGTATGTGTGCTTCTCCTGACCCCTGCACTTTTCAATACTTACTACTGATCTCTGCATTACTTACTACTGACCTTCTGAACTCTGCATTACCTACTACTGACCTCTGCATTATTTACTGCTGACCCCCTGCATTTTTTGCTCCTAACCTCTGTACTCTGTATTACCTTCTCCTGACCTCTGCATTATTTACTATTGACCTCTGCAATCTGTATGCCACTTGCTTCTGCATTCTGTAAGGGGAACTTATCAAAACTGGAGCAGACAGGATCTGGAGCAGTTGCCCATGGTGACCAATCAGCTTCTATCTTTGGTTTGTTCAGTGAAGCTTTGAAAATGAAAGAGTTGCCATGGACAACTGCTCCAGATTTGGTCTGCTCTGGTCTTAATAAATCCCCCTGTGTGTTACTCGCTCCCGACCTCTTATTTATTATAGGTATCTGTATAGTGCTGACAATTTACAAGGCACTTTACATTATGCACGTTCACATCAATCCCTGCCCTCAAGGAGCTTGCAATTAAAGCTCTATATCTCTTTCTGCATACATTTGGGGCCAATCTAGACAGGAGCCAACTAACTTACTAGCATTTCTTTGGAGTATGGGAGGAAACCCACGCAAACACAGGGAGAACATGCAAACTCCTTACAGATAGTGTCCTGACGGGGATTCAAATCCGGGACCTCCAGTTCTGCAATGCAAACGTGCTAACATCTACGTCCCAGAGCCACCCTCTTTGTTACAAACACCTCATGGAGGAACCAGGAGGGGAGTGGAGCAAGATTGGGCATTGCTAAGGAGACCATGGATAACTCCCTCCCATCCCAACAACAAGGAGAAAGTCTGCAGTAGCCTGAGCATTGCATCCACAACCTACTGATCGCAGTTGCAATGCTTTGCAGACTCCACTGCAAAAATCAAAATGCTAATTTGATTATTTTATTAATACGTGTGCATTCATTATTTGTACAATCTGGACTATTTCTTTAAAGAAAAAGTTTATTTATGCTTTAAATTCGATCCATTAAGTCCTTTTCTACACACTGCCCCCTCACAATGCAGACACACACACCACCGCCCACTCCTGCTTATAGTCAGGAGCAGTTGTCATGGAAACCGCCAGGAGGACGCAATGGGCGGACTAGTAAAGGCTGTGCGTCACGAGGGGGGCAGTCCTAATGGTCCCATGGTGGAAGAAGTCCCGGCTCGGTGTGATCCGTCTCAGCCAGCAGTGTCCCTCCGCACCGACATGGAGTGCCCGCACCTTACGACTAGTGTTTGCATTGCTCCGGACTACGCTGCCTTCCCCAGCGGTTGCCCCTCTTCGTGGTGCTGCAGCGGTGAGTGTGCTTACTCCTCCCCGCGCTTCGCCCGTAGGGGAGGACGTAGCGCCGCCTGCCTATGCTCAGGAAAGTCCCCGGCTCCGGGCGCGGCCTACTGGGGGTAATTGTTATTGTTCAGGGCAGGGAGAACCGGATAAAGCGATCACTGGGAAACGCTGTGAATGTGTGACCATTGTGGGCTCATTGTTAGAGCTGCCGGTGACATCCATATTTTTCTGTGTGTACGCTGGAAGATCAATGGAAGCCGTTATGCAGTGTGCCTGGACCTAGAGACTGACAATAAAGCGTCCCTCCAAACACGTGCACGGAGGAGTCCATCTCCCATCCATATACGTCTAATATATAGGTGCAATCAGTTTGTATGAGGCTGTGGCAGGCATCCCCCCCATTGTTCCGAGCTGTCACTGATGACACATGCACTATAGTCTCTGCTCATCTAATCATCATGATGTGGTCACACACATCCTGTCAATACCATAGTGCTGACTTCCTTCTAAAATCTTATTCAAGCCATCATCTTTCTCTAAATAATGAAATGCACTCCTAAATCCGCCAGCACAGGCACCACTTCATGGGAGATGCTTTGTTTTCCCATTGTATTGGTAGCTCCCTGCTCTATAATACATGCCCATCCTATATGAATATATTATGGATCTTGTGCTGGGGGGGTTTGGATGACATCCTATAAGACAAGTCTATGTAATAAAGATCCTTTGTATTTTTAAGACCTGTTTTTTATATTAGCACATTGGTGGTGTTGACTTAGCACACCTTTTTGTCTTGTCATTGTGTTCACCGGCTTAGTGTCCCACATTAATGTCAGTCTTCTGTATTATTTGTCTGCTGCCTTGAGTTCTTGTGAGTGAATGTTGTCATCGGAGGAGCTAGGAAATCCCTAGGTGTGTGTCTGGGTGGAAGGGAGGATGGCGCTGGGGAGGTGACTACGTGGGAACATGCCTTTCATTGTTAGAGTCCTTCTCTGCAATGCTTGTGGTTCCTGAATCCTGATTTCCTTGGGCGAGGCTGCTTGTAGTAGTTTTTCTTCAAGATTCTCCCCTGGTACCCGTTCTTCTATCATCGTTACCATTTAAGGTTGAATATAGCTTAGACTGAGATTTCCCAATTTACACAATGACCGGGGCAATTTCCTGGTCAAGACATAGGTGCAGATGACAGTACTGAGATCACATGCATGCGTGGGTACAGCCATGTGTCATAGGAATAGTGGATGTGTTGGTGGGGTTTAATAGGATGTTACCATGGAAACCACATGATGTATTATCTTTTCAAAGGGCTTAGTTGGTGTATATGGTAGTTCAGTGGACCTGGTAATTATAATGTGGGAGTTTATTAAATTTGCTCTCTTAATATTATTATTGTTATTATTATTATTATTATTCAGGATTATGTAGCACCAACAGTTTTTGCAATGCTTTGCAAAGTAAAGGAAGAAAGTACAACCCAATTCAGTGCAGGAGGGTTAGAAGGGCCCTGTACGTGAGAGCTTATAATCTAAAAGGTAATCATTGAAAGATGAGCTGATGGAGGAAGTAGAAGTACAGATTTTATGCTACATTATAGACTTCCTTGAAGAGAAGAATAATTGCCTCTGCTTGTAGAATATTCGTACTTGTTGGTTACAGATGTAAGGGAACAGGAAATGATATCCTCCATCAGGAGATTCATCTTTAAACAAACCAAGGAGAGAGATGAATAGAATTGTCTCAATCTGACTGCAGCCCATGCAGAGGATGGATCAATATGTTCACAGACAGGCAGGTCGATTATGTTTTGGGGGGTTGAATGTGAGGAATAAGGGTATCCAGGATAAAATATATGCAACGTTATCACTGGGAGACAAAGGGATCTCTCTTCTCGTCACTCGCTACCTTGCAGAATTGTGTGTGTGTGTGTGTCTATATATGTACTTCTAAAGAGTGTATAAAGCGAATTCTCAATAAGAGTTTTAGGTGTATCAAAATATTTGAATGAATCCAAGGGTGAATACATTAATATAGAATTCAGGAGTCGGTCTATCTAATCCAGGAGACAGCAGGATATTTTTTAGGAGCCAGCTCCATTGACAACAACAAGAGAAAACTTCAAAAATGAGGCACCAGCTGTCATTTTTATGGAGCGTTGGCGACCTGGCTCCTGGGATTTGTCCAGCCTGAATTAGGCCAGGTTCAGACCTGAGCAACACCTGGGGCGCATGTTCCGGGGCTGTGCAATTGTGTGCTAGTGCACACAGCGGCCCCATTGATTTCAATGGGGTTACATCCGCACAGCAATCACTAAAAAAAAAAGGTACAAGTACTTTTTTTGCGACACACGAAGCATGGCTTTTTTTTTTTTTTTATAGCTGCAATTTTTTTCATCAACTTTTGTCAAAGGAGTCGGTCTGAAAAATCTTGATGGAACAGTCACTGCTATTGCTGTTCAGGTATTCTGTCAGGATACAGTAGACTGACGGGGGGATTTCCCCATCTACGCTGTTGAGATGGATGGGGAAATTGAGAGTTTATTTCTTGCCTAGCTCGCAAAAAAAACAGTGTATGGCCACCCTTAGAAGCCATTTTACCTCACTTTGGAGTGATTTCCTTTTGTGTACTGTCTTTCCCTGGGGACAGAAGGCAAAAAAAGACAAAACTTCTTTTAAGGTTTTAAACATTTTCCTGTAATAAATTAAAAAAGTTGTGAGGTTAGCCTGTAAATGTCAGCTGGTTTAAAATGGTGTTTCATCATTGCTGGGAGGATATCCTGCAAGTAAAGAGCTTGGTATCTGTGTTTTCCTACCATTTACAGAAAGCCGCCTTCTATTTCCATTACATTAACAGAATAGTATCTCTCTAGCAGTAGCAGAAGTATCCCAGACCAGAGGAAAGGGTCGAAACAATTTATTAAAGTGACACTAAACTCAGCACCAGGACAAATAAAATAAGGAATGGGACAGACTACTATGGGCAAAAGCCACACTTTTACACTTGTGGTTCAAAGTGACACTAAACTCAGGAGTTACTTAAATCTTAAAAATACATTCAAGTTCCCTAACCAATAACATAAATGTAACTTATTTGTGTATTACTCGGCTGTAGATCCTCAACTCATCTCTGAATTGGTGCTGACACTGTCCTTCCTTCTTCCTACTTTTGTTCCCCATGTATGTTGTAAAGTAGCCACCGCACCAAGCTCACTCCTCTGATGGAATACAATCTCATACTACTTTGTATCGAAATTATAGTCCATTATGGGAGTGAGCTTGGTGCAGTGGCTACATTACTATACACACAGGGACCATGGGGAATAAAAGTAGCCCCCTCCAGAGGATCTACAGCCGAGTGATACACAAATAAGATACATTTTAATTAACCTTCCTGGCGGTAATCCTGAGTGTGGCTCGGGGTTCATTTTCAGTACCAAAAGTGGTAACCCCAAGCCACACTAAGGATTACACTGTGCGTCACTTACCTTGTCCCTACGAGCCCCGCTGTGTCCTCCACCTAATGCCGGCATCCGTCTTCCGGGTTCCTTCCTTTGCGAGCGCCCACGTTGCACAGGGGCAGAACCGGCGGGAAATTTAAAAGTAAAAAATACTGAGATAGTCAGACTGCCAGGGAGGTTAATAGTTAAAGGATAACTATGGGGTTAAGGCTTTCCCCCATAGTTCTCCTTAGGGTAACGGGAGGACACAAACTAGCGTCCTCCCGTCACCCTAGGCTCAGAATACAGTGAGCTACAGCTGGCGGTATACTGAGACGCCGCAGCTGAAGCGAATCCCGACAATTGTGCCGGGATCCGCCCAGCTGCGTGACTGACAGCTGGCTCTGCCTACCTAGAGGCAGAGCCAGCTGTACCCGCCCCCTCCCCCGTCCGTTCCGCCAGTCATCGCTGGCGGAGCGGGGAATCCAGCCCCTCCCCTGTCATGGCAGAGAGCCGTGACAGGATCGAGAAGTGAGCGAATACCAGTATGTGTTCGCTCACCTCCCGATCTACTGAGCCGACCTGTGACAGTCTCATTGTCACAGGTCGGCTAGAACTATGAGGTGAGTGAAAAGCACTCACCTCATAGTTCTCCTTTAAGGTAATTGAATGCATTTTAAGATTAACTCCTGAGTTTACTGTCACTTTGAACCACAAGTGTAAAAGTGTGGCTTTTGCCCATAGTAGTCTGTCCCATTCCTTGTTTTATTTGAAAGATGAAAATATTTGCTGTGAATGACAACTCCTCTTTTTTAATCCTGTTATTTAGATGTTGGGTCCTTTTTTTGTTTTTTAAAAAAAACAAAGACTCTTTTTTTGACCTTCTTTTTTTATTTCTTTGTAAGTGGGCAAACTTACAAAATCTGCAGGGGATCAAATCATTATTTGCCACAGTGTATACTGTATGTACAGTAGAGTGTAGGTTTTTATTGGACATCTATATGTAATTTAATTGGGGGGTGCAGGTGGCTAGGATCAGGGCACTGACTTAGGTCTTGTTCATACCTAGGCGTATTGCAAATGCGCGTCTGTCGCGTGTTTTTTTTTACCGTGACCGTCGCGCTTTTCCGAAGGCTACTTGGCTGTATAGCAATGGAAACGCGCAACAAAACGGCCCAAAGTAGTACCTGTACCTTTTCAGGCGTGGGCCGTTTTGTTGCGCGTTACGGACGAGCGGAAATACGCCAAGGTGGGAACGAGACCATTGAATACAATGGGATTTATATTTTTGAGCGTTTTGTAGAGCGTTCGTCGAGCGTAGAATGCGCTACAAAACGTTCAGGTGTGAACGAGGGCTTAGAGCAGTACAGTGATTTAGTGGTTAGCACTTTTGTCTTGCAGCATTGGGGTTCCTTTTGGTTTGTATCCCGGTCAGTTCACTATCTCCATGGAGTTTGCATGTTTTCTCTGTGCTTGTGTGGGTTTCTTTGGGTACCCATTTTCTTCTCGCACTCCAAAAGACATTCTGGTAGGTTCATGTGTGCCTAAGATGGCTGCCTCATCTGCCCCAAGAGTAGATAAAGCCACTTTGAGTCCCTAGGGAGTGCCGGTGTTCGCTCACTTCTCGATCCTGTCACAGCTCTCTGCCGTGACGGGAGGGGATGGTTTCCCCCCTCCCCGCTCCGCCAGTACTGACTGGCAGAACGGACGAGGGAGGGGGCGGGTACAGCTGGCTCTGCCTCTAGATAGGCAGAGCCAGCTGTCACTCACACAGCTGGGCGGATCTCGACATCGATGTCGGGATCCGCTCTGGCGTCTCAGTATACCGCAAGCTGTAGCTCGCTGTATACTGAGCTTAGGGTGACGGGAGGACGCTAGTTTGTGTCCTCCCGTTACCCTAAGGAGAATTATGGGGAAAAACACTGACCCCATAGTTCACCTTTTTAAGGGATAGAGCCTTTTTGATATTTTCTGTTTGTGAATAAAGACTCATACCTGTGTATATTTTGATGTGTTGCAGTGTGCCGTTCAAATAAAAGTCCTTGGGTCTGTCTGACTTGTTCCAGTGTGCACTGTGGAAGGTGAGTATTGGGTAATACTGTTTTGGTTTAGTTTTTTTTTCCTTTTAACTGGTTGATTTGTATGACTAACTTTACAGCTCCTCCAGCAACATTTTAAAGAGGACTATGGGGTAAGTGTTTTTCCCCATAGTTCTCTTTTAGGATCACGGGACGACATATACTAACCTCCTCAGCTATTGCCCGCAATATACTGAGAGCGCCACAGCCAGGACGGATCCCAATAATACTGTTAAGATCCATCCAGCTGCTTGAGTGACAGATAGCTCTGCCTATCTAGGGGCAGCTGTGCCCTCCCCCTCCCTCATTTGTTCCTCCACTCAGCGCTGAAGGATCGGAGGGGGAATCCCTGCAGGGAGCGATGACTGACAGTCACCGCTCTCTGCCGGGAGACGATCGGGAAGTAAGCGGATTATTTTCAATGGCCCCCGTTCACACCTGAGCAGCAAAACGCCAGCTGAATAAGGCCAAATGCCCGAAAAGGTACATGAGTTTTAGGCAGTTAACAGCGCATTTTTGCCCCATAGAAATGCGCGTCAAAAGTATGTTGCACATATTCGCGCACGCTTTTGCCCGTTTAGATGCGCTTTCATCTATTGCCTGCAATGTTTCATGAGCTGCCTGTCAAAATGCGCATCTTCGTGCACAGTGCACAACGCACATGAACGCGCATATAGCCGCACACTAAACACGCACGTACAAACGCGCAAAAAGTATTCCACCTAGGTGTGAACCCAGCCTAAAAAGCTCTTCCTTACTGAATATCCACCATACTTAATATTGCTCAGGGGTGTGAAAATTTTGGAAAAAACTACTTGTCCAAGGACTAAAGCGGGGGCCGAATCTACTTGTCCCTCATAACAATCTACTTGTCCTGATACAAAAAAAATGTGCGGTAGCCTCCGCATGTATGGGGTTACATCTGGGTGGCAATCGCTGAAAAAAAGGTACATGTACCTATTTTTACGACCTGCACCGCGCAGTGTTTTCAACCGTGATCGTGTGGGATAGCCCGGGCGTTATTGCTGCAGGAAAACGCGCAATCTGCTTGGCACGACTGGGGTGCCATTAGAAAATAATGGCACTGACAGCAGGATCGGCGGTGGTGTGCGATTCCGTGACCACCCAGCCATCCGCTCGGTTTCGTGCACGATGACCGGGCAGTCACAGATCGCACACCACCGCCGATCACGCTGGCAGTGCCATTATTTTCGAATGGCACCCCAGTCGTGACAGGCAGGTTGCGGTGATTTACGAGCGGTAGCACACAATCGCAGTTTATTTACATTCAGATGGGGCAGCGGGACTGGTTTTCATTTTTAATTTACTTTGTAAAAATTTTTCATTTGTTTTATTATTTTTACATTTTGAGTTAGTTACATTTTTAACTTATTTATGGTTTATTTTTTTTAAACCTTTTTTTTTTTAACTTAACTGTAGTGCTATCACACAGTGATAGCTTTTGGAGGTGACGGGTTCTCTTTATTGACATCGCAGCGCCACTTGTTTAAAAAAGTCAAACCAGCCCTGCTGTGAAAAAACTACTTGCCCGGCGCCCGGAACTACATGTGTCGGGCGATACGAATTCCACACCCCCTGTTGCTTCTCTTTTACTTGAGTGAATGCTACTTCAAAATATTATTTTTGTATATAAGAAGTAGCTTATGTCATTCTCACTATTTTACTCTCTGACTGGGACACTCTCTCGCCCGTCCCTGTGTGACATTGTACCTTGTCATCTACCCCCTGACCCCCTATGACTCTATCTTTCCCCCACCAAACTCTGTGCTGCATGCTGTGCTTCCTTCCTTCTCCTGTTTTTGCGCTGCAGACTGGGCACTCTTTGCTCTCAATGATGTTGCTTTGCTAAACTCTTTAGTTTCAAATGTCTTTCTCAAGGACTATGGCTTTATAGACTCGTTGCAAGTTGTATTGTTTGTTAGCAAATGGAGGTTTTAGGGCTGCAACCAACTAATCGATTAGTTGATAATAATCAATGAGAATAATTGTCAACTATTCTCGTCATCGATTAGTTGGTTGGATCCCCAAGCTCTCTCCTCCATGCTGGGAGGAGAGCACAGCAAGCAGTGGCGGGGGCAATAGCCAGCCTGCTATTGCAATGTGAAATGGCCAATGCCAGGCAGGCTATTGCACCAGCCCACTACCTGCTGTATTTACATTCAGCTGCTGTCTGTGGAATCTTGCCACTGCTACTGTCATTCCCTGGCTGAAGCTATTCAAGCGTCATGTGCTTACAATACAATTGTTATAAAAAGAAATGATAAATGGTGTGAATAAAGTGATTTTCGGTTTTGGCCTGAGAAAATCTGCTGCGGGAGGTGCGTTGCAGTGGCACACTAAGCGTGTCTCCCACCCGCAGTGTGATTACCCGCACTGCAACGTACGGTACTGCAATGCCGTGTGTTCCAGTGCAGTGCGATTGCAAAAAAATGGGCATGCAGTTTTATTCTGAAGTAAACTTTGTTTGTAACACTCCATTGATGTATTTCATTTTAAGTTAAGGATGCTATTTATTTCATTTTTCTTATCCGATTAATTGAAAAAATAATCAGCCAACTAATCGATTATGAAAATAATCATTAATTGCAGTCCTGGGAGGTTTACTACCGTACTGTGCTGATTCAAAAGCATCCCAGCAGCAGAACTTGCATGCAGGAATGTAAATCTACTTCTCAGTTTATTTGCAGAAATGTCAGAGGGCTCAGCATGTACTTTTAGATTATGTGCAGACAGACAGGATAGATACAAAGACAGATCCCATATATGTATTTCATCTGTGTATTTTGCCTAGAGTTCAGCTTTAATCAGCCTATAAAAATTAAATGACCATTTTTGATCTGGCTGTTTTTGACCCAGTCAACTGACAATCTAATGTTTGTAGTGGCAGACAGCTGTCTACTGACCTTCAGTTTTTAGGAGAAACTCCAGTGAGGCAGTTAGGAAAACCCATCCCAATTCTCCCCCAAGATGGGCAGTACTAGCATCGCTTACTGTACCTGAATGCTCTCTCTTCTACATAGAGAAAAATGCCTGGGAAAGGACTTTATGACCTGTCCTTCCTGGTCCCAGCAGGGAGAAACAACAGTTCATGCATGACCCAAAGTGTCATCAGTTCCATGTTTAGTACACATTGAGACATAGATCTTTTATTATTACTTAGTGCTATCCACTGTGCACTGGCTGGAGTACTGCCATGTACCCACTTTTTTTTATGTCTTTCTGTGATCATTCTCCTCCTGTTCTTCCCTTAAATGCTACCATCAATGCCTATTGTCTTTGGACATAATGCTTTTATCCATACTTGCTGTTCTATCTAAACATTTTCCTCCATTCATTCATACTCTCCTCCCCTCTATTCATTTTTCTTTACTTCCTTATGTGCCGGCTTTCCTCCTCTCTGTGATCATTCTCCTTCAAGTCTGTTAATGCCTTCTGTCATCAATGAACATTCTCCACTGATTTCATCTATGCCCACTTGCCTTTGCTCTGTTGAATCTCTTCCTCTTACATCCATGTCTGCTTACCTTCCCTCTGCTCATTCTCTTCCACCAATGCCCACTTTCCTTCAGTCTAAATATTCTCTACCTTTTGCATTCTTTGCTCTGGTCAGTCTTATCCTCCTCCACTGTGTTCACTTTCATTTGCTCTGCTCATTCTCCTCCCCTTCCACCTGTGTCCTTCCTTCTGGTCTTTCCCTTCTGCCACCCGTGTCTGCTCTCCTTCACTCTCATTTTCTTCCATCCATTGACTGACTGCTTTCCTTCACTTTGCGCTTTCTTCTCCTTTTCCACCCATGTCCGTTTACCTTCCCTCTGCTCATTCTGCCACCCTTGACCGCTCTCCTCATTCTCTTCCTCTTCCACCCATATTCCTTCTGGTCTTTCATCTCTCTGCCACCCATTCTTGCTCTCCTTTACTCAGTCCCTTCTCCTCTGGCCACCAATATCCACTTTCCTTCACTCTGCTCATTCTCCTCCTTTTTCTACCCATGTTTGTTTGCCCTTCCTCTACTCATTCTCCTGCTCTGCCACCCATGCCTGCTCTCCTTATTCTGTTCATACTCCTACTCTGCCACTTTTTTTCACTCTGCTCAATTTCCTTCTTTTCCACCTATGTCCACTAACATGTCGTCATTCTCTTCCTCTTCCACCCATGTCAGATTTCCTTTGCTCTGATCATTCTTCTTTGCTTCCACCCGTGTCCACTGTCCTTTTACTTTGCTCATTCTCCTACACTTCCACCCATTCCCACTCTCCTTCTCTCTGCTTATTCTCTTGAATGTGTCCTAGTTGCAGTAAACAAAATGGATTATCAGAAATGAACATTGCATAATGTAATTATCACTTGTGGCATAAAGGTATGTGAATGGCCATGCCAAGAAGCATTACGAGGATGCCCAAGTGCCGCTTGCCAACCACAAACAATACGAAAAATTAGAGAAGGAAAAAACACAGCACACTGTATGTATGGATTGCAGCAGCTACAGCACATTTTGGTAAGTCTGGTTAGTTACTGTTTTTTGAAATATCAGCAGTATTGTTATTCCTTTCTATGGTAGCGAAACACCAGAAATGCAGTTCTTTCAAGAATCTCTTGCTTGCAGTTACCGGTGTGATGATTTTGTGGTGAATGACACAAAGATGTGTTCTGTCCAGAAAGTTCGAGAGCACTTGCAGAACCTGGAGAAGTAAGTAGACTGGCATTCTTCTTTCTGTTTCTGTTACTTTTATTAGAGACCCACATTGTTGAGTCAAGCTTTCCAGCTCTAGCTGTCCTGTAGCTTCAAAACGTCTAATATTCTTATTCAGTTTGTGGTCAAGAGCAAAATATTCTGTTTTAAAAAAGTGTTTGTCATAGAGGACTGTTTAGATTTCAGATTTTGTGTTATAGACAGACATCTGCCATTTTGTACTTCTTTGTTTTTTGATAGCTCTGCATTCACATCAGATAGACACAGAAAAAGGAAATTCTTGGAAAACTCTTCACACAAGAAAATGCTTAAATTAAATGTAAGTAACAGTCTGCTACACTATTATTAATATTATTATTATTACTGAGCCCTGCGCTTTGAAATGGCATGCATTTATTGGTCAGAAGCGCTTCTCATTGGTCAGCATGGCCAATGAATGCTCGCTATTTAGAGTGGATTTTAAAATCCCGACTGCAGGGTTGTGCTATGCTGTATGGGTCGTACATCGGCAGCTGCGGAGGGGAAGGGGTGTTTATTGGCAGTTACAAGCAGCAAGGGGAAAGGGAGGATAGGGCAGATTGGAGAAGGTAATTCCATATTCCAAAATTCTCCTGGGAAAGTGTAATTACTTGAATATCCCTCATTGTAGAGACGCTGCTGGGAGCCTGTGATGGCTCCATATCTGCCCTATCTGCCCAGAATTCCAGTTTGCTGAATTAGCCTGTGGTATATACTAGTAGCCAGTGAATATGTTCCATCTTATGCACTTGATTCCTAAAAGTATTGTAACAAAGTTATTTTAGATTCTGAGCATTTTAAAAGGTAAAAGCAATAAATCCGTTTTTTTGCCAAATAATATATTTGGGGGGGGGGGGGGGAAATAGCTCCTACAGAAAACCTTTTGTGTGGGAATGATTACATCCATTCGCACAGTTGACAGCACCACTTCATCACCTCCCACTAATGGTGATAGACTAGCAAAATAGCAAATGAATAATATGAACTATGGATAATGCAAAATGTAACACAGGTATGCATGCATGCATGAACACATTTTTTTTTTTTAACTTGCAATTTCAAAGTTAAAGGAGAACTATGGGGTAAGTGTTTTTCCCCATAGTTCTCTTAAGGGTAACGGGAGGACACAAACTAGCGTCCTCCTGTCACCCTAGGCTCAGTATACCGCGAGCTGTAGCTCGTGGTATATACATTGAGACGCCGCAGTATACCTCGAGCTGCTGCGTATACTGAGATGCTGAAGCGGATCCTGACATTTATGTCTGGATCCGCCCAGCTGCATGAGTGACAGCTGGCTCTGCCTATCTAGAGGCAGAGCCAGCTGTACCCTCCCCTGTCCGTTCCGCCAGTCAGCGCTGGCAGAGCGGGGAGGGGGGAATCCAGCCCCTCCCCTTTCACGGCAGAGAGCCGTGACAGGATCGAGAGGTGAGCGAACCTGGTATGTGTTCGCTCACTTCCCGATCTACTGAGTCGACCTGTGACAGTCTCATTGTTGCAGGTCGGCTAGAACTATGAGGTGAGTGAAAAGCACACTCATAGTTCTCCTTTTAACAGAAAAAAATGTTAGTTCTGCTATATACTTTGTTGCCCAGAAGTCATTAAAGTCTGGATGCCCAAATTTAGTAGCGGCAGTACATGTCAAATAACTTGACAATTAATCTGACTAATTTTCCTACTTCCAGTGGGGCTGAAGCTGTCAGTTTGGCTGCTAGCTGTGGGAACATAGATTAATGCTCCGTGCTGTGGGAACATCTTGCTAGGGAACATTTATCTACAGATTGTGGGTGGATTGTGGGGTATAATGTGCAGCAGCCTCCAAACTCTTGCTGCTACTGCTGAATGCTGAGCCAACTTCCTGCACTTTATACATGGCAGAAGCCCATTTTGTTTTTTTGTATTTGATTGACCTTCTTTTAAAACATGAAATTGCTAGACACGCATTACCCAGTGACAATTCAGTCTTCGTTTTTCTGGCTAATTCTTATTTGAGGACTTTACGTGCATTTACTTAGAGCCTATTCACACTATTGCACTGTGTTAGTGCACACCTGTTAATGCATGTTATCCTGTATGTTACCGTACAAATGTTAAGGCAGCACACTCATTTGCATGGAGCACATAAAGCACCACAAAAGATGCATGTAGCATTTTTGACAGAGCAACCAACATATGTTAGTCTGTTGGCAATGTGCGTCAGAATGAATGCCACCACATTGCACCAACACATGTAACGTATTGCCACAATTTGCGGTAAAGTGTGCTTTACTGCAGTGCTGTAGTGTAAGTGGGCCCTAACACAATCTGATGGTAATGTCTTTTATAGTCAGAAGCACACCCAGCTTGTCATAGATTATCTATGTGGATAATGCATTCTGAATGCAGTGATAATATGATGTAGGGCTGCAACAACAAATCAACTAAATCGATTGAGAATAGTTGGCAACTATTCACACTCCTAAACCTTGTAGACACCTTCCCAGAAGAGTTGAAGCTGTTCTAGCGGCAAACGGTGGGCCAACTCAATATTGAACCCTACGGCCTAAGACTGGGATGCCATTAAAGTTCATGTGTGTGTAAAGGCAGGCGTCCCAATATTTTTGACAATATAGTGTATGCCCAGACCCAAAACATTTTTTTTTTTTTAAGTTTTGGATAGTGGGGAAGGATTAGTTCCCCTGCTGGGATATCCAGGGCTCTGTTCCAAGGCTGTGTTAAAGGGCATGCACCTGAATTACTGTATAGTTGGCCAGTTTCTTAATGAGGTAGTATTAAGGGGTGATGAAGGTAAAACTTCCTAACTGAGCTTGGAATAGTAGTATCCTTCCCCACTCCATAACTAAATAAGAAAGCTTTGGCTGGACTTGCACTTCAAAGTGTAACTCCAGCCAAACTTTTCTTTGTAGTTTTAAACAGTGATGTCCTCCCTTGCTTCTTGTCCCAGTGACAGGAAGTAAAGGGAAATCTACAAAGTGCAGTCCTCATCAAATCCCTGTTTCTTATGTTCCTTGTTTTCCTTCATTTCCTGTCCCAGTAAGCGATAGAAAGTTTGTCCAGTATGACCTCAATCTGCAAAAAAAAACAAAGCAGAACCTCTAACCTTTCTTCACTTCAACAATACTGTTTATATGGATTTTACATGTCCTCTCTCTCTTAAGGGAAGTACCACGGTGCTCTGCGCTACGGGTTTGCGGAATCTAGGAAATACTTGTTTCATGAATGCTATTCTGCAGTCACTCAGGTACACTCGACTTCATAATAATGCCTTGCTTTCTTTTGGACAAAGGCAGTTTTACCGTAGTAGATGTAAAAATAATATATATGTATTTATTTTTGATCTTGCAGTAACATTCAACAGTTTTGCTGCTACTTCAAGGAGCTGCCAGCAGTGGAACTCCGCAATGGAAAAACAGCTGGTCGGCGGATGTATCATACACGGAGTCAAGGAGAAGTTAATGTGTGAGCCCTACTTCTTATATCAGCCTGCTCATGGATGGGCAGATCTTGTGTATCTAATAGTGGGACATTAGAGATCTACTTTAAGTGACAAGCTCAGTGCTGAGCTCCATGACACAGTGTTAAAGATTGAGCCCTGTCCTTATCTCTTCTTCCCCACCCTGTTGTACATTAAATAGCTTGCATGTGTTGGGAGGTCACTTTCTTTTTTTTAATTGAAAATAATTGTGTTGCCAATAATTGTAATTATTATTACACAGGATTTATATAGCGCCAAAAGTTTGCACAGCACTTTACAAAATGGAGGGAGACAGTACAGTTACATTACAATTTCAATACAGGAGGGTTGGAAATAGCACAGCTGTGCTGGTGGATATGTTTTAATGACCACATGGAGTACCTTTCACATAGACTGAGAAAGCTCTTCTATCTTCTCATGTTTAATCTACAATATGCTTGCTCTGCTAGAGCTGTATTATTCTGGTGGATAATATTCACGTTTGTTTTGCAGGTCATTGGTTGAAGAGTTCCGGAAAACTTTATGTGCATTGTGGCAGGGCACTCAAACTGCATTTAGTCCAGATTCCTTATTCTATGTGGTATGGAAAATCATGCCAAACTTCAGGTAACTGCTCTGTTGTTAAAGGGGTAAGAGATCTTAAAGTGTTGAAATGTTTTAGTCATTACAACAGGAATTTCTGTTTGGAATCTGGCTTAGATGGCCATTTAGACCATTTTACAAACTGATAGTATCCAGAGGACAGGTCTGTTACCTGCTCTTTAGCAATTTCATGAGATTTGTTTGTCTTATTCTGTTGGGTATCAATATTTGGTCTCACAATTGAAGATATCTGAAAGAAAACAAGGATGTGATGCCTATAACAAAGTAGCCTCTGATTTCTTAAAGTGACCCTAAACTCAGGAGTTAAATCCTATAAATACATTCAAGTACCTTTTAACTATTAACAAAAATGTAACTTATTTGTGTATCACTCGGCTGTAGATCCTCATCATCTCTGAATTGGTGCTGACACTGTCCTTCCTTCTGGAGGGTGACTACTTTTGTTCCCTATGGTCCCTGTGTCTGTTGTAGTCATTGCTCCTAGCTGACTCCCATGATGAACTATAATCTCACATTTAGTTTAATGATTTGTATTGAGATTGTAGTCCATCACAGGAGTGAGCCTGGAGCGGTTGCTACTTTACAACACACACAGGGACCATGGGGAACAAAAGTAGCCACCCTCCAGAAGGAAGGACAGTGTCAGCAACAATTCAGAGATGATTTGAGGATCTACAGCTGAGTGATGCATAAATATGCTATATTGTTGTTAATAGTTAAGGTACTTGAATGATTTTTTAGGTTTAACTTCTGAGTTTAGTGTCACTTTAATTCTAGTTCACATTAGAAAATGAAAGAAATAAGGTTATTTATTAGGGATGCACCGATACCGATACAAGCATCGGTATCGGCCGCGATACCGAGTATTTGCATGAGTACTCGTACTCGTGCAAATGCTCGGATGTCTAAAACGAGTACCTGTGTCTGCCATCTTCCGCCGCACACAGCACACAGGACCGCGTCTGCATTCATTCAAGATGGCCGCCATCTCCTTCTCTCTCAGACTCCGCCTTCAATTCCTCATTATTAGTGCAAAACATTCTATCCTTTTTCGGGTGCTTCCAATATTAAGTGCTTTTATTGGAAATAATATCTGCAGTAAAATAACCAATATCAAAAAGTGTTACAATAGGGATCCCTATGTACAAATTCATACATATCAGTCTGTACAAAAAAACCTGACTTTTCTTTTCATCAAATTGATTGCACTTTTGGAGCAACTTCTGAAGATTGCATGCAACATTTGCACATGCATAGTATACAGATTTGTTTACACCATCTAATGGATGAAAAGAAAATTTGTTTTTTGCACTAATAGATATGTTTGAATTTTTCCGTATTTGTTTTAATGTTCTTTATATTATTTATTTGATTTAATTGATATTGATTTGCTATGTATTGATTATTTGTTATAAATATATATATAATTATATTGCATTTGATGATCACATTGTAGCGCACTACTTATTTCTCTTATTAGGTGAACAAGGTTCACTATTAGCTGCTTTACTGTATGATTATTAGATGGGGAGTGCGGATCATATCTATTTGTTGTTTATCAATATGTAATCCTACAGGGAGTTATAGTATTTGAATGCCCTAAACACCTATTGCATTCATTATATGAAGAATTTCCCTTGGTTGTAAGAACTCTGCACGTCTTAAGTGTACATAGTATATATATTAAGTGTATATTGATCTGCTCAAGTCCTGAAGAGTTCTGCTGCTTTTCATGTCTATTATATTGTAATGCTTTGCTGCAGCCTCTGGGGGGAGCTGTCATTGGTTTGCACAGATGTTATTTGGTCAGCTACAAGCTATGGTCAATGGGGTAACACAGAGCAGTAAATCAACCACTGGATGATCTGCACCAGTCACGTAGTTTGGTTTTATTTCTGCTTGTAATTCAGATGGTGTAAGCTGGATTTGCACAATAGATGCTCTGCTTTTAACCACTTGATGACTGGGGTGTTAAACCCCTTTCCTGGCAAGGCCATTTTCCAGTATTCAGCGCTGCAGTGCTCTGACTGACATTTATTCCATCATGCAACGCTGTACTAAAATGAATTTTATACAATTTTTTGATGACAAATAGAGCTTTCTTTTGGTGGTATTTAATCACCAGTGGGGTTTTTATGTTTTACTATATAATGAAAAAAGTACTGACAATTTTGAAGAAAAAAAAACCCGTTTTCCTTATGTATTATGAAACATTTTAGATTTACAGAAATGTTTGGTAAAATATAAAAGAACGGGTCACGTCGGGTAAATAGACCCCAAACATGTCAAGCTTTAAAATTGCGCGCGACCGCGGAATCGCAAAAAACTACCATACCTAAAATTGCCCATAGGCAATGCTTTAACAGCTTTTAGCGCTCACTAGTTTAGTGTTATCAGTGATTGATGGCACCACAATTATTCTTCGCACTCTGACGTTCGTGCTGATATGTAACGTGTAGCGTAATCTTTGTTTTCGCATGTAGGTGTTCCCAATGCGTATTTATGTTTATATGAGGGGGCGGGGGACTTTTTTTTGTGACTAACTAATGTTTTTTTACACTTAACTTTATTGCTATCACATAGGGGGCTAAGAAGCCTATGTATTAACCAGTATACAATGACAGGTCCTCTTTATGGAGACAGGGGTCTCTAAGACCCCTAATGTCACCTAGGGACCCCCAGAGAAGCTGATGACGCAGAGATCTGCTTCACCAGCTTCTTCTCTGGCTGCTCTTCCCTGGCTGCAGTTTCTCATCATACAAGTGATTGGGCCGCTGTAGAGTTCGGGGTTCTGCAGAGAAAAAAAAATTGCGTACATGTACTTCCGCCAATTGCCCTTGTATTTACAACAGACAGACAGCAAGTGGTTAAGGAGGAAATATGTTGACATTTATTGCATTGTGCCTGATCTGTAAATTGCGACTTGTGCTTTTTGTTTTCTATATCATTTCTCAAAACATCTGTCATGTGATTTCTGTTATTGCAGGGGTTACCAGCAGCAAGATGCCCATGAATTCATGCGCTATTTATTGGACCACTTACATCTAGAGCTTCAGGGTGAACTAGATGGCTCCAATCATTCCGTCATATCACAGGAGAACACAAGCCGCCCTTCAAGCAGCAAGTGTTGTATGTGAGTGATGCAGCGGTGTAACAGACTAAGAGGGGAATTGATCAAAACTGGAGCACATTTGCACTGCAGCCAATCACCTTCTCTGTCTCATTTTCAAATCTCAACGGAGCAAACTGAAGAGAGATGCTGATTGGTTGCTATGGGCAACTGCACCAGTTTCTGTCTGCTCCAGTTTTGATAAATTCCCCCCTCAGTCTTTATGTTCCTTGATTTATATATGAAGGTAATCTAAAAAAATGTTTCACAGCATTTTTTATTGAGAGTGGGAAGACTTTGGTTGGTTGTCACTGCGACTTGATACACACAGGAATAAATCTTCAGCTCTTCAAGAAATGACAAGAATTGCTGTGATCGTGTCACTTAGAAATATAAGCTTGCTGGTTGCTAATAGACCATATTACTGAATTCGGCAAGGGGCACAGCTGTTGTTTTTAGCAGGAAAGCATATATATTAGAGAATTGAAAGGAATCCAGACTTGAAGTAATACAATTAGTGTAAATCCCACATTTCTCTTTTTGTCAAAACTGAGCTAAAATTGGATTTTAAATAATGTCTTGGCTAAGTCCATCCCAAGCTGCTAATTTGTTTATGGTGAACCCAGTGGACTGAATCAACCACTGAAAATAGTGGAAAGTTCTTCCCTCTTTGATCCTGCATGTCCCCTCATTGTAAAGAAGTATTAGATTTGATGCCCTTATTATTCCCTGAGCAGCTGTGAATAGCTGGGCACTCGGGTACACATGTATGCCTTTTTTAGTATAGTGACAATGTTCTGTTTGTAACTAAAACAGATAGTTCTGCTAAAGGATGTTCTATGACTTGTCTGTTGCACAGGAAGTTTTAATGGAAGAAGCTGCTAGAGTGTTAAACCGATCTATATTATATTTATAGAAGACGTGTGAAACTGCTTGGCTTTGGTATTGATTGAAGCCAATTTTATTTTACAGAAATGGAGCGACAACAGTGGTGACCTCTGTGTTTGGTGGAGTTCTGCAGAATGAAGTAAACTGCCTAATTTGTGGAACAGAATCTCGAAAGTTTGACCCGTTTTTAGGTCTGTCTCCTTCATGCATAGTGCTGAGTACCATTTTTACCTATTGAATAATTCAGATATCTACACGCGGCAGCCATCCTGAAAGCTCTTTTCTCATGTTAAGAACTGAGTGGAGCTCTTGAAATAACCATTTAAAGTATGTACTGTATTAAACAACATGCCGCATCCTAAAATCATGTCGTCTCAAAAATAATTTTTGGAATTTGAGGTTCCATTGATGCATTCAGCTCTCCCAGGACACCATCAAGCAATACTGCACACACAGATTGAGTATTAAGTACTGAATACTTGAAAGAACTACAAACAAAAAGGGGTTAACTGCTTGTTTTGTCTAGGAGACTCAAATAAAGCAGATTTACTTACCGGATCCTCGGTCCCACCAGGCTGCTAGACCAGTCCCTGCAGCCTCTTTCCTGAGCTCCAGTGGTCTAAGGACCACTGATGTCATTACATCATATGCAGGTCCAATGACCTGCATTAGACACTTCTTTACCCGTACTTCTTCTAAGCTGTCTCTGCAATATTTCTTGATAGTGTCCTAGCTGAACACATCAATGGAACCTCAAATCCCCAAAATTTTACTAATGTAACATTATTTTAGGACAAACCAAAGCTGGATATGTATGGAGATTTTATATATGTATGTATGTATGTATGTATGTATGTATGTATATGTGTGTGTGTGTGTGTGTGTGTGTGTGTGTTTATATATAACAGTAAAACAATTTATGTAGAAAAGTTCAAGTGTATCTAAACCCAAAAGCAAAAATGTAATATATAGCAACGTGTCAATCTTTAGATGTGGTGGCTGCACTTCTTTTTTTTTTAAGGCTTTTTTCACTTGGTGATCTGGCTAGTAAGTCTGTTATTTTTCAACTTCCTTTAACAAACTAAGCTATCCAGAAAGGGTATCATTTAGATCAGGGGTGGGCAGCCCCGGCCCTCCAGCTGAGCTTTAAATACTAATCCCAAAATGACTTTGCCTCTGGGAGACATACCTGGAACTGTCGGTCTTGCATTGTCTCATAGGACTTTTTTTTTTTAAAGATAATTTTTATTGATTTTTGCAAGTGTCAGAGACACAACAATGATAACAACAACACCATCAACAAACAACAATTGGGTCAACATAACCCAGGCATTTACACATCAGTACACTCTATGTTTGTCACGAGGTTACAAGGTTACACAAGCTGTGGATGCAATATTCAAGGTCAAGACATGGTGATAAAGCTCTAAGATAGGTATCACAGAACATTGAGAAACCAATTCAGCCACATATATCAGCCGACCAAAAGTATCATCTACGACTCATAGGTCCAGGACTGGGGGGACTCGGGGCCAAAAGTTAGTAGTACTACCCCGTTTCCAAATTTGTGTTTGAGGAGGCCAGCCATGGGTCCCATATGCGGCCAAAGCGTGTCGGGCTACCTCTCTGCTCGTATGTTAGTTTGTAAATGGGGAGTGCTTGATTGATCAGTCTTTTCCATTCGCCCAGGGTGGGGGCCGTCTGGCTACCCCAGACTAGGAGAATGGTTTTCCTGGCATAAAATAACAGGAGGCGGATGAGTGTCTGAGAACGGGAGGCCAGTGCTAGCTCCCCTGTCTCATAAGACTTTAGTTCCACAACAGCTGGAGGGCCGGAGTTGACCACCCTTGAGTTAGAGGGTTACCCCCTTTTACTAGACATCACACCAGCAAGCAGCTCTGCATGCTGATTTGACATCAACTTTCATTAAACAAACTTGTTTTTACTTACAAATAGAGTTCATCTACTTCCTGCTCCAGTTCTGGCACAAATTATGAAATGTGCCAAAGTGTTGCATCCTGGGAAAGTTACATCCGCAGAGCATTGCTGGAAAAATCTCATCTGTCATCTCATGAGATGTCGGGGAAAGGCATTTCCATCCCCCGAGATGATGTGCATTGTAAAGATATTGCTAAAGTTCCTCTTTAACACTGACAATGATCAACTTTTATTCATTTCTGTAAAACCTTTATCCCAAAGGGGAAACAAAACTGTTACTGCTTAAAAGTGTTAGCTGGCGTTCAGCTTTCATTTGTTAGGCAAGTATATATCTAAATCTGCTGTCCATCTGATGCTACTTTCTCGAAAGGGTGACACTGTTGCTGTCCAAGTGTGGCTCCATTGCTCCTCCATAGAGTGGAGCTACCCTAAGACAGGAAGTGTGTTATTGACTAGATCACCAAAACTTAAAACAAACGAATGCAGCCGCCACATTTCATTGGTAAGCTGCATTATATTAATGTTTCTTTGTGTTTAAGTGCACTGTATCTTGTGTTTTAAATACACTGTAAGGATTGGATGCGAATATATCTATCTCTATCTATCTATCTATCTATCTCTATCTATCTCTATCTATCTCTATCTATCTATCTATATCTATCTATAATTTACTCTTAATTTTCCTTTAGTTAGATGGTTCACTACTCCTGCAGTCATGTGATTTTGCAGATAAATAACCTCCCGCCTTAAACCACCCAACAAGGAGAATCTGTCTTTTATCAACACTCTATCTATATATAAATTGGTCATCAGAATGAAAACATTACTAGAGATTAAACACTTGAAAGAACATGGAATAGACTATTAAGAAGTTCTTTATCCTGAACTCCTATTTCTTTTTACAGATCTCTCTTTAGATATTCCCAGTCAATTCCGTAATAAACGTAGTAAGAACCAAGAAAGTGGACCAACCTGCACGCTCAGAGGTATGACGTTAAACATTTTGGCATACATTTGTGTATTTTAATGTACTTGCCCAGACTTGACAATCTCCAGTTGTAGTACCAGTCCATAAATGACTCTATTTCATTTAAAGAAAAACTCTGGGGAAATGTTTTTATTAACCCTTGTAGAAGGGCTACCCCCACCCTGCAAGGGTTAACTGCTTGTTTTGTCTAGGTGCTAAAAAAAGAGTTGTATTCACCCGATCAGCTCTCAGACTGGTCCCTAGAGTCTCTTTCCCTCCTCTGCAGCGGTCTAAGAATCCTTGTGTCGTTATGATGTAAGGACCCCGATTTTAACATTTCAGTACAGCAGAGGAGGAGACACGCTTCAGTGATCGGAGAAACAGAGTCGGTGCCGCAGTTCAGGCGAGTATCTTTTTTTTTTTTTTTAAAGCACCTAGACAAAAAGTTAACCCTTGAAGTGTGAGGTTAGTCCCACTGCAAGGGTTAGTAAAATTTGTCCCCAGAGTTCTTCAACCAAACGGGTTTTTATTGAGTTGGTCACATGAAAACACTGCTCTACAACTAGCTCCATCAATTTGTCTTTTAGACTGCCTGCGCAATATCTTTTTTTTTTTTTGTAAAGCACCTAGACAAAAAGTTAACCCTTGAAGTGTGAGGTTAGTCCCACTGCAAGGGTTAGTAAAATTTGTCCCCAGAGTTCTTCAACCAAACGGGTTTTTATTGAGTTGGTCACATGAAAACACTGCTCTACAACTAGCTCCATCAATTTGTCTTTTAGACTGCCTGCGCAGCTTCACAGACCTGGAGGAGCTGGATGAGACAGAGCTCTACATGTGCCTGAAATGCAAAAAGAAACAGAAATCCACCAAAAAATTTTGGATCCAGAAACTACCAAAGGTTTGTTATTAACCCCTTCATGACTGAGGCCTTTTTTTTCATTTTTTGTACCCATGTTATATTCCACATTACAGCAAAGTCCTCCTTGGGGTATAGTGTCGTTCTTCATGTTGTTCAAATAATAATATCAGTGATGGGTAAATGAATACCAACCATTGCTGTAATTCTCTATTTATGGTTAAACCTCTATACTTCCCATAAAATATAACGGCTTCCATTTTCTAAACGCTCTAGCCTGTTCTAGAAATGCAGGTGGAAATGTGCACATGGGGAATACATTTTACAGAAACATCTGCATTCCAGAATGCAGAAATAAGCAATGTTACCATCTGCATTTAGGACTGTATGTATGTGTGTAAATGACACTTGTGACAGAAACACGCAGGCTACCATTGTTGATTTCCACCTGTAAAAGAAAATGAGTTGCCGGACTGCCTCTGGCTTCAGTACTTTTTGAGTGGCTGGCCCAGCGAATCAGGCAAATAATGAAATCAACTTCTGATATGCATACTCTTCCTAGATCAGGAACTCAAAACATTGAAGCCAGGGGATGGGCAAAAGAAAAGACTTACAGCAGCCTTTTTTTAGATCAGCAATGACCGTCCTTCTTTCTCACAGCAGGTTTCCATTAAAATACTGCATGGCAAAAGAACCTCTTGGTTTGTGCACCAATGCAAACATGTACAGTGATGAAGTGGGCAGCACAGTGGCTCGGTGGTTTAGCACTTCTTTGCTGCACTGGGGTCCTAGTAGAGATGTAAAAGTTCCAGAAATGTTTAAGCCATGAGAAAAAAAAAATAAAACGTTTTTTCCCTGATTTTTTTTTTTTTTTTATCCGGGAAAATACAGACATTTTTGGAAAAAGTGAAACAATTTCAGTGTGGAGTATTTTTACAAATGGAAAGTCATTTTGTTACACTAAGAATGTGAAATGCAGTGTTTATAAAAGTATTATGCGTGAAATGAAAGTACAGCTTATTCAGGAAAGAACCTAAACTTGCTTTTTAAAACTTTATTTTGTATTACAAATGGAACAACAAGGTCTGTGTATGTTAATAACATTTCAACTATACATGAGAACAGGTAAGCATACTCTTTCCCTCAAAAGCAACAAAACAAGCAAGAACATATTTGCAAATCGCAGCTTTGCACTCAGCAGAAGTTGCACTGTGAAAATGTTTCCAAACTCTAGATGCTGGTCTCACCATTTTACTAAGAGGAGGACCAGACTATAGGTAAACATTATACTGTGATGGTGTAGAATCATTTAACCCCTTCATGACTGAGGCCTTTGTGTTCATTTTTTTTTGCACCCATGTTATATTCCACATTTAAGGCCTGAAAGTTACTTAAAACCCCCCAAACATTATATATTTTCTGAAAGCCAAGACCCTATAGAATAAAATGGTGGCAGTTGCAAATTTTTATGTTGCACGATATTAGCGCAACTCCTTATCAAACCCCAAAATTTAGTGTAAAATGTATTTAAATGCCCCAAAACACAATAAAATACCCATTTATTTAATGCAGTATAACCGATGAGGTTACAACGAGTAAATAGATACCCAACATGCCCAGGTTAAAAATTGTGTGCATCCGTGAAATGGCAACAAACTTCAGTACTCCAAAAAGTCCATAGATGCTTTGAAAGCCCCCACAGGTTATCCATTTAGAGATGCCCTAGAATTATTGCTCGTGCGCGGTGATGCCCAACATGTGTAGCACGTTCGTCATTTTCATACGTAGGCGCTTCTGACGCGTGTTTACATGGCAACGACAAGTGTGCTCGCGGGGGACTTTAAAAAAAAATGTTTACATTATTTTTAGATTTATTTAATTTTAAAAACTGTTTTTTTTTTTTAACTTTGTTTGCTATCACATAGGGGGGCTTGCAAGCCCCCCCCCAAAGCCGCTGGGACTCTGTTTTAAACAGCCCAGATGCTGGCGACATACACTCAGTCGTGAAGAGGTTAAGGGCCTGTTCACATGAGTTTCAGGTCCTGATCAGCAGACGCGGTGCTATGTGTTTTGCCGCGTTTTTGATGCGTTCCAGTAAAAAAAAAAAAGTGGGGCTGTCAGTATGTTAGCTGCAGTGCATTTTTGACGCGTTCACGCGTTTTTGATGCGTTTTGCGTTTCCTGACCGTACAAAATGTGACATGCAGTATTTTTCTGTCGTAACCTGAACGGACTGCGCACGTGAGAACTGTAGCCCATAAAACACATGGGGATACATTGGGATGCATTTTTAGTGCAGGAGCATACGGATCAGGTCAGCACAGAAAACGGACGTCGTGTGAACAGGCCCTAAGGCCCCATTCACACTGCGCGACATGAAAATCGCGTGATTTTATATGTGCGATATTGCGCAACTTTTTCCTATTGGGCTGTATGCAATCAGGAGCTAAATCGCTCGAAATCCGCAGAAAAAGGGGTCATGTAGGAGCGACGAGCTACAAGCGAGATTGAGCGGCGAGATGTGAACAGCTCCATTTGAAATGGATTGGAGAAGCTACATAGAGCAATATACATAGAGCAATATCGCAGACAAATGTACCCTCTTACCTGAGAGGACAGAAACTGTCATCTACTATCATACCAACAATCACCCAACTGTAGGAAGTACAAGATGGAGCCCTCAAGCTAAACTGGGAGCCTTTCCTCTGCAGTGCCCCTACTGGCAGAAATGCATATTTCCTTGAGTTTGGGAACTGCATTGAGAAGTAGTGTTACTTGGATTGTATTCCAGGATTTGCTTGTCTTCAGCTGAGACTGTGCAATAAATTAAGACTTTACATAAAGTCTCAGAAATCTTTCATTAAGGTTGTCATGTTATGTAGTTTTCAATACCATGTCAAATATATATTATTTATCATTGTAAAAGAACATATTCCACACTCTTTTTTTATTTATTTATTTTTTATTTCAATTCTCCTGGAAAAAAACAATTTGCTTTGGGGTCCTTAGTTTGAATCCAGGGTGCTATCTACATGGAGTTTGCATGTTCTCCCTGTGCTTGTGTGGGTTTCCTCTGGATATTCCTTTTTTTTCCTTCCACACTTTAAAGACTTGCTGGTAGGTTAATTGCCTGATGTATATGTGAGATGGAGACATTAGATTGTAAGCTCTTTGAGGGTAGGGACTGATGTAAATAATGTAAAGCACTTTGTATTTTTTTAGCTGTGGGAATTTGTCTCCTTTTTTTTTTACTTACCCGAGCGGTTTCTACAGTATGGTCTGTAGAACGTGGGACACAAAACTTGGAGGAGGATCTGATACAAACCTATAATATTGCATATGAGATGCTTGTTTAGCTTTGACCATTTTAAAGGTTGTTATTCTTTTTCAGGAAACTGATTCTGTAACATATGTATAAATGACACTTTGTGCAATGATAAGTATAAGGGCCAGATTGCAGTGCTCTGTAATGCACGTGTTTTTATGCATTACGGTGCATTGCGTTAGTTACTCTCTCAAACATGTGTAGGAACTAATAACAGCCAGTCCAGCGTGACACTTTGGGGCGTGCATTGCGTTAGGCAGCACATTTATTTTGAATGGGCTGTCAACAAACCTCCACTCACACCAAAAACATTCCCTGCACCATTTTACAAAACACAGCTCACCACAACACGCAAAGCATTGGCATCCATGTGTTGTGGTGGGATACTGCACGGGTACATTGCAGCACAATGCAGATGTGCATTTGGGTCCAGCTGACAGTTAATGGCAATGCACCTTTATATACAGTGTATTGATGTACATGACCATGATCCACGCACGCCCCAAAGTGTCACGCTGGACTGGCTGTTATTAGTTCCTACACATGTTTGAGAGAGTTTTCTGAATCTGTCTCCGATAATAAAGAGTAGGGATGCACCGATACCGGTATTTTGGTACCGCGTACAGATAATTTTTTTTCCGGTACCCACCGATACGAATTACCGAGTACTGGAAGTCCCATGCATGAAGCCAGGTGGCGTGTAATGACTCGCCACCTGGCTTCCTGATTAGCCGGGCAGCATGTAAAGACTTGCCACCCGGCTTCCCGATTAACAAGAAATCCGTCCCATACGAATCCCCATACAAATCCCCATACTAATCATATGTACCTGCATGTCTCTGCAGTGCTCGGCTCTATGGCTTGTATGCTGCGGATCTCTGTCCCCTCTCACGTCGGCATGTCACCTATCACCCCCGGGGGCCTCTCCAGCTAGGAACGGTCTTCATCTGGTACCCAGAGGCAGCTTGCTGGCCAATCATGGAAGCCGGGCGCCCTGCATGCTGATTGGCCGGGACGCGGCTCCATGCTCTCTCGTCATCTCATGACGAGGGAGCATAGAGCCGGCCTCCCGGCCAATCAGGAAACCGGGCAGCGTGTAATGGACGCGTTGCCCGGCTTCCTGATACAGGAAGTATCGTGCTAGGCATTTGGGCGAGCGAGTACTCGCCCAAATCCTCGGTATCGGCATCGATATCGATACTAGTATCGGTGCATCCCTAATATAAAATGTTTTAGCGGGAAGAACTTATTATTTTTATGTGGTTTGTGTTCTATGAATGTTTCTGTCTGTACGCTGGCAGACCGAGCTTCATGTGTTCTATTCTTGTGTCACAGGTTACATGTGTTTTCTATTCCCCTTCAGCTGCTCCAGCAAAGACAGGTGATCATTCAGAGCAGCAGCTGGCACTGGGTGCAGTAAATAGAGGGGGAGAGCAATTGGGGACTAAAACCAAAGAGCTGTTATCAGGAATAAGAAAATTCACAGCAATAGCTCTCATCTAGAGAATTCAAATCCACGTCCTCTCCTTCTCTTTGCAGGTGCTATGCTTACACTTAAAAAGATTCCATTGGACAGCATACCTTCGGAACAAAGTGGACACATATGTAGAATTTCCTCTGCGAGGGTTGGACATGAAGTGCTTCCTGTTGGAGGTAACTTGTGTATACGTTTTACTGCTGGATGGGAAAGTTATTCATCAGAATTATTATCATATTTTCTCCATTGTTTAATAAAACAAAGGAGAATTGAATTGCTAGTATTGGTTCCTTTTCATTATAGTTCACCCTCTTTCTTTTTTTGTTTGTAAATATCCTGTATACCAAATACCCAGACAGATGCATTTACACATATGTGATGGAGGTGCAGTTTCTACCCTTTTATCATTTATGTTAATTTGCCTAGAAAAAAAAGGACATCTGTCATAAGATAAATACCAACACTGTCACCTGATATTAATGGTTTGAATCACTGAATGACCAGAACAAGTATGCAGCTAGGGAAGTCTGATTCAAATGAGATCTTCTTATCTACTGTTCAGGTGGCCAGTAAGGCCCCGTTCACACTGAGCGATTTATCGCGCGGTAATTCCCGCGATATCGCGGCTATTTACCGCGCGATATCGCTCTCCAATGCTTGGCAATAGGGCAAAGGGTCCTGCTGTCGCGGGTCTTGCGTCGCTAGAGCAGGACCCTTTTTGGAGCGGATTTTGCCGCGATTCTAGCTTGCTCAATGCAAGCATTTTTGCGCGATATTGCGCAAAATGCAAATCGCGCGACAAACGTGCGATTTGCGAATCGCACAGTGTGAATGGGGCCTAACTCAAAGCATTTCAGTAAATGGATCAATATGACAGTTCGGCAACTGGTGTTTTCAGTGGCAGCTTACCTATTTCTCCTGGCCAGTGTGGCTCAGGTGGTATGATTTTTTTTTTTTTTTTAAGGTTTTAGGTTAATAACACCTCCTAACTCCAATGATGCAAATGCAATCAACACCTGGTTGTGACTAACAGATTATGTGGATTGGATTGACATTCACCATATTTATTCCCAGATAATTTTTGTAGAAGTCATTCTGAATTGAGAAAGCTGGTCGGATGACCAGAGAAACCTCAAAAATAAAATACAGCTAGTCCAGTTGCCTTGAATTATTTCTTTATACGTATACTGTTGTATAATTGCATGCATAACCCATGTTTTATTGGCTATTGTATACCTATTCACATAACACTGCTAGCCTGAAAGCCTTTCACAAAGCATTGTCCACTATAGAGTGACACGTACCTCAATATAACCCAATGAAGTTAGGTCTATGGGTGACCCCTTTGTGTTATGATCCTTGTTCTGGGAAAGGGCTCATTAACATTGATCCCGGTAGGGATTTCACAAGCATATATTTTCATTTCTTTTTTTAGTTTATAACTTCTTGATATGTGAAAAGTCTCTTTTTATTTTCATCTTTTCCATGAAACAGCCAGAAAATATGGGCCCAGAAAGTTGTCTTTATGATCTAGCAGCTGTGGTTGTCCATCATGGCTCAGGGTGAGTTGAGAATTTGTATTTTATCTTCTTACCCTGGAGGGGATATTGCATATGTACATACAGAACAAGATTCATTAAAGGGGATTTTATTAACACTGGCGCATGCAGAATCTGGAGCAGTTGCCCATAACAACCAGTCAGCTTCTCTTATTCATTTTCAAAGCTTTACTGAACAGAAAAGCTGATTGGTTGCCATGGGCAACTGCTCCAGTTTTGATAAATGTCACTCATTGTATCCATGTTATCACTCAGTTCAGCCATTAACCATGGTATAAATAGGTGAAAATGAGGAAAGACTGTTTTTAAGATGAAAGTGTATGTTTAAAGAAATAATGAATAATTTTTTTTGTTTTCCTTCTCTTGGACAGTGTTGGCTCTGGTCACTACACAGCATATGCCACCCATGAGGGTCGCTGGTACCACTTCAATGACAGTACAGTAACCATGACAGAAGAGGAAACCGTGGGAAAAGCAAAAGCCTATATTTTGTTTTATGTGGAGCGTCCAGTTCCTGCCACTCCGGAAAAACTCTAAATACCTCCTTTTCATTCCCATAAACTTCACACATGTCCACCTTTCCACTAATACTTGATTGGATTTTATTTTTACTTTTATGCACTTTCACAGCTCTGCTGAGCGTTGTCTGGCTGTCAGTGATAGAGTAAGATGTATTTACAGAACTTCATCACCACCTCTGCTGCCACAGAGATCTACAGTTCTCTCCACAAAATTGAATGACGCAGTATATAACTGAATTTTGACTAGGTAAAAAAATAAAATGGCAATATGATCATGAAATAAGTCGCTGAACAATAGTGGAACTCTGAATTCTGGCTACGTTTGCTGCTCAGTTCCAGTGGGGGCCCAGTTCTAGGAATTTTCCTTTTTGGGGGGACATTTTCATGCAGTGCCTTAAATAACTGGAAGCTGATGGCAAATAACTTAGTTCTAGCCATGGTGCCTCTTTAGTGACTACAGAAAACAGGCCAAAATGGAAGAAGTATGAGCACCAGTTTCTTGGGGTAATTACAATGATCTGAACATTTCTGTACATTCAGCAGTTGTCATAGCGCTCCCATAGCGCAATGTCTAAAACAAGCACTCAGGCCTGGATACACATGAAATAGTCTAGGTGTATGTACAATTCAATGTAAAGCGGAATAATGTAGTTGTACCCGTTGTATTGTCAATCATGTCTACCACCTTGTGTTGTAGATCACCCCAGATTTGGGAACTGTTTTAAGAAGCGACTCTTTAACGCATTTCCTGGAGTTGTGTGTCATGTGAAGCAGCGCTAAATCACTTTTGGGTAATCTGAGAGACTGTCACTTGATGAGTCACTAAACGTCTTATGCCATACAGAGTTTTTATTCTCAAGTGCACTAACCCATAGCACCCAGGAATCCATCTTGTACTGTGATGACCTCAGCAGAGTGAATTCTGATTGGTTGCTAAGGGGTATTGCACTTAAAGTGAATTTGACATGGCCTAAAACATTTCTAAGGTTACAATAGTGTTTAATTGCAGGCATGTTGTTTTAGTCTTTAGGCATGTGTCCCTATTGGACCCCATGAGTTCTAGGCCCAGGCTGTATGTGGGTCCTGAACTTCTGCTCAGGTTGAAATTAAAGTAAACCTGTGGCCAGAGGCCAGATCATGCATACTAAAGTATTTCCGCATTCTGAACAAGCAGTCAAAAGTACTCTAAAACAGACTTACCTCCTGTATCTGTAAGCACTGTGGAGAAATTTAGTTTTTAAAGTTCACAACACAGTGATTGGAATCTTGGCTCATTCCATATTACTTTCTGTCGCGCCAGAATCTTGCCAGCCATGTAATGTAAACCAGTGGATGTTCCTGAGATGCCAAAAATCATCTCTATAATCTTTGTTTTGATCTTTGAAGATTTTGAGAATAAATCATTTCACATTTAATGCATCTACAGAGGTCTGGGATGACTTGTTTTTTTTAAAGCTCTTTTACTGCTTGTAAACAATGTATTCTCCATAGTCTGGGCTCTTAAGGCCCCGCCCACAATCCTTCATACTGGTACTTCAGTGAGCAGTAGAGGCTTTAACATTTGACGGTTGAATGGCAGCTGGTGGCACTCGAAAGAGAACTCTGGGGTACACCTTTTTTCGCACTTTTAGTTTCCTTCTGATACAGGAACACATTTTGCAATGTACTCCTGTAATTAGAAATGCACCATAAGCTTACAATTCAGTGTAATATACTGGGCGCAGGGCTAAGCTTTGTGCTGAGAAACAATCCTGACAATATTGTCTGGATCCTCCTCTCTCATTGAGTGACAGCAGCTTGTAGGAGGTGCTCCACGCTCATAAGAACCTAATAGAGAGCAGCAGCTCTCAGGGCACATCCGATCAGAGTTGACACTTGCACATCCATCCTGCTGTTTCTTTCATTCCCCCTCCTCTCTTTCCTCCACACTGCTACCTCCTGACAATACACATACCACATCGGCACTAAGACCCATCAGTTCAGCTCTGTCCTCCGTGTCTTCGCCCTCCTCCACACTGCTGTCTGTATCTCTTCTTCCTGTGTATGTCCCAAGACGGTCCTAGTGCTGATGTGTTATGTGTATTGTCAGGAGACGACAATGTGGAGGAAATGGGAGGGGGAACGAAAGACAAACTGCAGGATAGATGTGCTAGTGTTTGTACACCTGTGACCTGACAGGAAAAATCTCTGATACAATGCCCCTGAGCTGCTGCACTCTACAGGTTTTCATGAATGCACATCACCTCCTACAAGTTCCTGTCACTCAATGGGAGAGGAGGATCCGCACAATATTGTCGGGGTAGCTTCTCAGCACAGAGCTTAGCCCCTCCCACAGTATATTACACTGAATTGTAAGCTTATGGTACATTTCTGATGACTGGCATAAAAAAAAGGTGTACCCCATAGTTCTCCTTTAATCTCTACCTGGGCAGACATTGAGTCCTCTTGTGCAGCCTGGGCCAAGGAGCAAAAGGGACTACATAAGGATTGTTTTTACATTAGGAATGAACTCTTAGGAATCAGAAGAATTTATTAAATAATTCTGCATGTATTTTAGCTAATAGAATGATGCCCATCTTGATTAGTAAATGTTTCAGACATGTTTGACTAATCATTGCTAATGCTGTCATTCACTTTACTATAATTCAGTCCTCTATCTTCCAAACTGTGATTTCTATAAGCACAACCAGCAGTGTGACACAACTGAACCTTTTATTAGTTCTTCGACTCTCTAAGAGTGCCCATAGACGTCCAAGGGTCATCTGATGTGTATACAAGTTCCAGCTGCCATCAAGCACCAGTGTGGTCTCAGATATTTACTCAGCTTATATCCAGCACATGTTGAATACCATTTGAAGTTAACCAGTCTATTTTCTACACCACAAATTGGTCTATTTAACCAGTCCATTTATACAACACAAATTGGTCTTTTCCATGCTTCTGTTCCCATCATAAGTTTAAACTTCATGCATAGAAACAGATTTGCTAGCAAGTTACGCTCATATTTTCCAGTCTCAATTGCAAAACACCAAAACTAAGTCTTATGTTAGTTTACCTTCACTTTACACTCCTGGGATGAAATATGATTAATAGGTAATGTCCTCTTTTATAAACCGATGTAAATCTCTGTAGTAGTGCTCGGCAGCAGCACTGGTCTTGTGTATGTCAGTTTATTATTTCTTCTCTCAGCTTCATCAGCCCTACTGTTCTGATACTTTCATAAAATAGTTTAGACTTTTCTTTTCCATTTTAAAATAATTATAAATTACAAAATGGAATAGTATGCCATATTTAATAACTCAGTAGGAAGAGTACTGATGTGTTGTATTACATAGCAACCAGATACGAGCTTTGTAAAAAATAAATAAATCATCCATTGAGGGACACAGGAAGGCTTTCACTTTTGGGTAGGAATGGAGGCTGACAAAAAAACCAACCCAAGATAACCACTCCTATTACCAGTATGACTCAGTTTTTCACTAGTGTCCTAGGACAGTGGTGGCGAACCTTGGCACTCCAGCTGTGCCAAAACTACAAATCCCAACATGCATCTGTCTCTGGGAGGTATGTCTGTGGCTGTCAGAGCCTTGCAGTGCCTCATGGGACTTGTAGTTTCAAAACAGCTGGAGTGCCAAGGTTCGCCACCACTGTCCTAGGAGGATGCATGTCTTTTCTTCAGTTGTGCCGTGTAAAAGACTAACCTATTTTTTTTTCATCAGCACCATTTTTTCTGATTTGTCTGAGTCACTCCGGTCTTTGCCAGATGAACTCATCATAGAGGAGTTGTAGTCTTCTGCTATTCCTTTCAAAGTAAGAGACCATTGAGCTCTTATCGATGTTGTGCACACCACTCTGAAAATAGAGGGGGTTTTTGTAACCTTTGCAGATACTTGGGCAGCTTCCATTTTAGATGCTTGAGTGTAAGAAGTGGTATCCTGCGGCTATAAACTGGTCTCTCACTTCCAAAATGTCAGTGGCTCTGCACAGATTAGCAGATTTCCATTAAGCTGTCTCGGGTCTACTGGGCAAAGGTATCATTGCCCCCGGTTCTGTGGCAGAACAGTTTAGAAAATTGTACCCCAACCAATTGACCATTCTCAAATCTAAAGGGGGAATCTGGTCCATCTTGGATCTCAATGCTCTGAATGTATTCACTCAAACAAATCTGCATGGTACCCACCAGGTCTGTCATCACCTTCTTTCACCTAGGAGACTTACAAGCATCTGTGGACATCAAGGATGTATTCCTGCATGTCGCAATCTTCCAAGTGCATTGGTTCCGATGTCTTGCTGTGGGTTCCCTGCACTACCAGTTCATGGCCTTGCTCTTCGGCCTATCATTTGCACCTTGGGTGTTCACAAAGGTGCTGGCCCCAGTACTAACCCTGCGGCACTTTTGTGGCAATCCCGCTGTGGAATAATTGGATACCCTGTTGAGAGAACAGCCGGAGCAGCCACTGTTGGACAAAGTGGCTTTGACTGTCCAGATGTTAGTGATTCGGAAGGATCCTGAACTTTTAGAAAACAGCACTGGAACTAACTTATTTACAGAATTTGGGTCTAGTCCTTGACATAGCTCAGGCCAGGGTCTTTCTCCCACAGGACTAAAAACGTCACACTCTCTGATCTCATATTCAAGTCCAGGAGTTGTCTGGATTTTTGATCTGATTTTTGCATGAGAGTCTTGGGTCAGATGGTAGACTTTTTTGAGGCAATCCCATTTGCCTAGTTTCACTCCAGACCTATTCAATCTAACAATATATCTCCTGGTTGCTGTATTTTATTTCCCCTTTATAGAGGTACAAGACAGGGATGTCCCCTGGCACCTTTATTGTTTGCATTAGCCTTAGAGTCTTGGGTAGCGGCAATAAGGGGATCAGAGACTGTGACCAGATTCAGAAGAGAAACAGGAGAAGATAAAGTGGCATTATACGCCAATGATGCTCTGATCTTTTAGAGAGGCACTGGGAAATCTTTGGAGGCAAATTGTTAAATACTTTGGAAGCTTTTCTGGTTTCCAGATAAATTGGGACAAATCTATGTTCTTGCCAGTAGGACCCACTAGAGCAGTGGCTCAACCCGTGTAACCCACATTTGTCCTCAGTCATTAAGTTGCGACCCAAGTTGCACTGCAATGGAATGCACTGCAGTGTGGGCTGCTAAGCTGTGACAGAGCTCCATCCATATGTGCATTGCTTGTACAGCACCCATGCGTGCCTGTAGAGGTGACGGGACCCAGAATGTGATATCACTCTGGTCCAGGTACCTCTACAGGACATGTGGGGGAGCTATAAGCAATGCATGTATGGAAGAAGCTCCCTAGTGGCCATAGCTCCAGTCCACCCCATCTCAAGTCGACACTGGGACCGGGCAGCATATTTTGAATGGCTGCTCTGTGTAAGAATGGACAGTGCTCCGCTAGGGGGAGGCTGAGGAGCCTCACCTAGAAAAGTGGAAGGCAGGCAGCGACCCACTGAACACAGGGGCGTGACCTACTTTTGGGTCACGACCCACCAGTTGAGAACCAAGGCACTAGAGCATAATTTGCCAGAATATGCCACTCGGATACCAATTGTACTCGGCACACATTTTTTTAATATTTAGGAGGTCAAAATTCCTTGTGACATTTCTGAATATATTACTCTAAATATTCAACCATTATTAAGTAAGTTTCAAGCTAAAAGTAAGTGCAGGTGCAGGTGCAGGTTGCCATTATCAGTGGTTGGTAGAGTAAACTTGATCAAAATGATTTGGATGCCCCAGCTTTTGTATTTTTTCTTTTACATAATTCACTGATCTGGATTCCATCAAGAATATTTAGAAAAATGGATACATTGTTCAGAGATTTTATATGGTGTAAATACCTGATTGTTCCATTTCTACTACACATAGAATGAATGACACAATTATTTATATTGCATTGGGTGTATCGTAAATCCAAACAACTTTATCAATGGGGTCGGAGGCAAACCCCTCTATGTGATAGGTGTGGACAATCAGATGGTACCTTAATACATCTTATTGAGGGGCATCGCTGTCTCCCCTCATTTCCTTTCCTACTGCGTGTTGTGAGGGGTTATGTCCTTAACAATGCAGATGTTTATTTTTTACCGTTTATCCATTCCTCTTGGAGGCAGTAGCATAACCCCTACGTCTCAGAATTCTTCAGGGCGTTGTCCCGCAATAGACAATGGAGAAAAGGATTTTACAGTAAGAACAAATCCTATTTTTTGTTTTTCCCTTTACTTTGTAATACATATTTCATTTCCCCCTATAGATGTATGCCACTTGATTTAAAATTGACATACATTTGAATGTCATGTAGTTTTTAGCTACTTTCAAATTAATTAATTTCATTATGTTTAATGAATGGGTCATATTTATTAATCATTTTTTTCCCCCAGAAATTCTACTAGTGCTAGACGCACTTCTAAGAGTATTTTTTTTTTTAACAACTGCATAGTTTTTAGAGTGGGCTCAGGTTTCTCTGTAAATCTAATATGATTTTTCAAGGCAGTTCTTTCTCTGAAACGTACCGCTTGCCACAAACTCGTGAGTTCTGCATACTTTTTTTTTCATGTGATTTTTTCAGCATTTGGGAGTATTTTCTTTTGACTTGTCGCATGTCAAATTATATTTATTAGATTTTCCATTTCATCAGTTTGTATCAATATTACTATTTGTGGTATCACAGTACTTACAAAGGCAGTATAATCCTGTCATGAAGTCTGAAGGGGTTAAACAGACTCCTGCCGGGAGTCTGTTCAGTTTTGTAGAGTCAGTGGCCAGCTTCACAGTAGAAGCAATTCTGGCAACTCAGCTGCCGCCAGATCGCTTCTACGATCCGGTAAAAAAGGAGATCGGTGAATGTCCGTTCACCGATTTCCTCCCCATTCCATTGGATCGGGAACGATGCGTATTGCATCACTTCTGGTCCCTGAGCTGTCGGTGCTGGGCTCCTGAAGCACAGCAATAAGCTATTGAAGTACGATCTGCACTTCAATAGCTTATTTAGAGTGTAAAGATGTTACTAGGGGTCTTTTGGAGCCCTAGCATCACCTTAGAGGGCCTGTCACTGCCAATATGCTGTCAAAGTTTAAAAAAAAAAAAAGCTTTAAAAATAATAAATAAATTAAATGTAAAAAGAATTTAAAAAAAAAATGTTTAAAGCCCCTCTGCCCCTGCGAGCACGCGGGTTGACCCATAAACATGCGTACAAAAACGACAATTGCGCTATACATGTTGGGTATCACTGCACACAGCAGAGTGAGAGCAATTATTCTAGGGCCAATATTTATACATATCTCTAAACTCATGACCTGTAGGGGATCCGGCGGGATATTACAAAAAAAAATATCACGAAAAATGACACGAAAAAAAAATAAATCATACCGCCAGGGAGGTTAAAGTGTCGTCTATGGACTTTTTGGGGGTACTAAATTCTGTTGCAGTTTCACGGACGCACACAATTTTTAACCTGGGCATGTTGGGTATCTTTTTACTCATTGTTGCCTCGTCTTTTATATTTTGCAAAACAAATGGTTTTCTATAGTGTTTTAGGGTACTAAATTTAACTTAACTGCATTTTCACAAACGTTTTGGGTTTGAAAAGTTGTGCTAATGTCGTGCAACATAAACATTTGCAACTGCCACTATTTTGTTCTATAGGGTCTCGGCTTTCAGAAAATATATAATTTTTTGGGGTTTCAAGTAATTTTCAGGCCTAAAATGTGGATTATAACATGGGTGCAAAAAATGGAAAGAACGGCCCTTGTCCTTAAGGGGTTTAAATAATTACTGAGATTGCATTGAATACTGCAGCATCATAATATTGACTCTGACATTACATTATACTGTCTGCCATCATGGTATCCACATTGTAACAGTACACCACCATTACCGTATAGACCGTCACCTTAGAACAGTGATCAAATATAAGTGCTCCATATGTATCCAGAGACATGTATACACAATGAGGGGGTTTAGGTTAAACATATCCTATTCACTAATGTGTCTGGGAAAAAGAACTCTAAATGATTACTACACTCTGGGGGACAGTTATCAATTCTCTTGCAGGACAAGGCAATGCTATACAGGGACTGAGACAAATTGTGCAACAGATTTACTACAAGGTTACAGCTTGAGTCATAGATTCCTCCCTCAGCTGCAACTGGTGCTTCTGTTTAGAGTGAGAATATCTTATCTTCAGAATGAAATCTGTTGCAGTTGGCTGCTCTGGAATACAGCAGCAGGAGTTGCAAATACACTGTAACCCATATTTAGGATGTAATATGAAAGATGGTTATGTCCCCCCATTACTTGAATCGTGGGGTTCCTCTCTCCACAGGATGCTGTCATTTTTGTTTTTATTGGGCATGGCTCCACCCGCACAGCCGTGTCCACCATTCACAGGATCTGTGAAATAAGGCCACAATCTTATTGATATTTAGACCAAGTTAAAATAATTGCCGTTTCATCACCTTAGGTTGGGTGTATGTAAGGACATGTTCTACTACTGCCAGCGCCAATCCACACTTTCAAACGGTCCATTGTGGTGCATTAACACATTTTGGCATGTGTTAATGTGTGCTGCATTAAGGCAGCCTATTTATTATTATTGCGCTGCCAACGCACCACAGCAGATGAAAACACGTACATGACCCTTTAAAAAAAAAAAAATCTCAGACCATGTGTTGTGGTGCATTGTGCTGTACAATGCATTGGAGTGCCATTCACAATGAATGGCATTGCAACAGGCCGCGCATAGAGCAGGTGTGTTGCCGCAACACACAATTATGAATAGGCCCTCCGATAAGAATTGTGGATAAAAAAAAGAGTGGTTATGTTTTTACTGCAGTCTGTGTCGCCACTGGGGAGATTCACCCCTCTACTTGGCCTGATCACCATTACATAGTTAGTCAGGTTGAAAAAAGACACAAGTTCATTGAGTTCAACCCATTGGAACAGAAGGTTATGGGATTTCCCCTCATTTTGAAGAATATTGCTCTCTCACTTCCTGTTGCGTCTGGTGGACAGGAAGTGAAGTACAATGTCCCCACCAGGACACAGAAAGTGCAAAGAAATGAACACATTGTATTTATTACCTACTCAATCCTAAATGGAAACGTTTTGTCTAAGACACACTTTAGTAAATAAAGGACGGCGTGCTAACCTGCTATCTTGCCAGACAGCGTTGGCTGAGGTTGTTAAAATGTCCTCCCTAACAATAAACACAGCCACTGATATCATGTGCAATGTCATTACTATCAAATATTTTGTGTGAGGTGGTTGGATTGAACAGAGACGATAAACACACTTTACTGACAAGGGCAGACTAGGCTTAAACGAGCTGATATGTGTGACTAAATATAACCCAGCAGCTGCTATGTGGTCCCTGCCATATATGTCCCGGCCCTTTAACCCTACAGCTCTGACTACACAACACATCATGTTGTGAAGCTGAACCATCCTCCTGGAACTGGTAAGTCTTTATACTCATTTGTTTTATGGATCATGTAAATGATCTGCTGAAAATCTACTCTTCTGCCTACAACATGTCTACTCTGACTGGATCCATTTGAGCATCTCTTCAGTTGCAGACAGGAATTTGTTGAAAGTTTTTCTGCTTTAAATGCTCCAAAAGCTGACCAGATCATTAGTTTAAAAAGCACATTACGAACAAAGTCTTGCATTTCTATTTTAATTCTATTTTCTATAAACACTATCACAATTATATTGTACTCATCACAGATAGTTACTTTGTACTGATTAAAATGACCATAAACAGCGCTTAGTTTTTACAGTTAGCTACATGCATTTTTATGGCTAGTCAGTGTTACAGAAATATGTACTTTCACCTCTTACCATCTTATTTTAAAAAATCCTCAACTCTTAAAGTGAATGTTATGCAAAAAACATTTTTTTTTCTAGTTTTGGATAGCGTGGGGAAGAATTCAAACCCCTGTCAGGTTTTTACTCCAATCTAGGAAGAATGACCCTCACATCCTAGCTGCTACTTCTGAAGAGAGAATCTACAAATCTGAACATGAAATAACTTCATGACAACATTTACCAGACAGCAAGTGAGGGCAACTCTATTGCAGCCACTGAGACAGAATAAAAAATGCTTCTTGTTAGCAGAGAAGGGGAATGCTAGAACCCCTGTTAGATTTGGTATTTCTGTTGTTGTCACGGTTACAGATTTTATTTTACTTCCTGCCTGGTGAAACAGTTGTCAGCAGGACAGGAAGTGTTGGTAATTCTCTCTAACAAAGCTCTGGGTAGCAGCAAGAAGAAACCAGAGGTTCTCATTTTCCCCCACTCTGTCCTAAACTAGAAACATACTTTTTGGCTTCATACACTTGAAGTGCAGAAATGATGAAATTCACTTTGCTGGATCAGACCAGTAGTAGATGAAATCTGGCTTGCTGCACATAAGTTAGACATGTGGAACAACTCTTTTTGAATAAAGCTACATGTGTCAAATACAAGCTACAAATCTAGAGTCTGAAGTGTAGTTATATATGTGGTAATCTGTGTGCTGTGAGGAAATCTAGCCTGTTCTGGTGGTTTCTCCCTAGTGTCCACAAAGAAAGAGGATCCAGCTGTCATCAGTGCTCGTTGCACCATGCCAGGAGTCGCTACAACCATAACAGATCTGAACCCTGAATGTCTGCTGCATTTGTTTTCCTTCCTGGATAAGGACAGTAAGAAATGCCTGTCACAGACATGTCACAAGTTGATGGACATTTTCCAGGAGCCTTCACTATGGAAGCTGCTAAATTTCAGCTCCCCATCCGAATTGACAAAGAAGAATTTTGTTTTGGGGCCAGCTCTGAAATCGCTGTCGATTTGCTGGTATTCCAGCAGGGTAAAGGTCTGCAACATTGAAGACTGCGTGAAGACCACACTCCAAAAATCCATGTGCAGCCACCATCTCAATACAGTCAGCGACTTCCTGCTCCAGGTCTCCAAGAGGTAATGCCAATTCCATCACTGTATTAGGCTGACCATAAGCAACCTAATAAAAGCAAGCAGTGCCCCTGATTTTACCAGAGAGTGGTATCTTGCCTATGCTGGGCAAAGAATGGTGCCAAGGGTCCCCTTCGGACCACCTTAACCTCACTTGTGATAACATTCTTCTAGAACTGTCTGCTGAGGGGGCATGTTTATTTCTCCAGTCTCTTAGGCTGGCAATACCCTTAAACAAATCTACCAGATTATATGATCAGTGTATGCATGCCAAGTGATATGCAAGAATTGACTGTCTCTCAAATAGATCACAGTACTCCTGATAAAGTCTTCCTTTACTATTTCCCCCAAGGGACCAAGGTCATCTTTGTTCAGGAATCAGAAGCTGCTCCCTGAACTAAAATATTTCTCCTAGATGCACCTCGTGACTTGATACAAAGTTACACTGTTACTATCAGAATAATTACTGGGGTATAGGAGACTGAGGAAAGGCTTCTGCCTGCCTGCTACAGACTGATCATACTATTTGCCCAGATTGCTCCCCCCTCACCTGACTGGAGCTCAAGCATTCAGAGAACTTTAAGGGTAAATTTGACACGTTATTGAAGACATGGTTCTTGTTTTAGACACCTTTGCACATAAAACCATGCATGACGTCAGGGCCGGCCTTAGGCCTTTAGGCGCCCTGTGCGAGAAAGCTTTACAGCGCCCCTCCGTGACCACACCCCTCAGTGGCCACGCCCTCAGTAACCACACCCATTTATTACCCATATTTTTGGTAAAAAACGTATATCTAACACAGTTACAGTGGAAAGACCGGTGTGTGTGCTGGAGGTGGGATCTCAGTGGGGAAAGACCGATGTGTGTGTGCTGGAGGTGGGATCTCAGTGGGGAAAGACCGATGTGTGTGTGCTGGAGGTGGGATCTCAGTGGGGAAAGACCGATGTGTGTGTGCTGGAGGTGGGATCTCAGTGGGGAAAGACCGATGTGTGTGTGCTGGAGGTGGGATCTCAGTGGGGAAAGACCGATGTGTGTGTGCTGGAGGTGGGATCTCAGTGGGGAAAGACCGATGTGTGTGTGCTGGAGGTGGGATCTCAGTGGGGAAAGACCGATGTGTGTGTGCTGGAGGTGGGATCTCAGTGGGGAAAGACCGATGTGTGTGTGCTGGAGGTGGGATCTCAGTGGGGAAAGACCGATGTGTGTGTGCTGGAGGTGGGATCTCAGTGGGGAAAGACCGATGTGTGTGTGCTGGAGGTGGGATCTCAGTGGGGAAAGACCGATGTGTGTGTGCTGGAGGTGGGATCTCAGTGGGGAAAGACCGATGTGTGTGTGCTGGAGGTGGGATCTCAGTGGGGAAAGACCGATGTGTGTGTGCTGGAGGTGGGATCTCAGTGGGGAAAGACCGATGTGTGTGTGCTGGAGGTGGGATCTCAGTGGGGAAAGACCGATGTGTGTGTGCTGGAGGTGGGATCTCAGTGGGGAAAGACCGATGTGTGTGTGCTGGAGGTGGGATCTCAGTGGGGAAAGACCGATGTGTGTGTGCTGGAGGTGGGATCTCAGTGGGGAAAGACCGATGTGTGTGTGCTGGAGGTGGGATCTCAGTGGGGAAAGACCGATGTGTGTGTGCTGGAGGTGGGATCTCAGTGGGGAAAGACCGATGTGTGTGTGCTGGAGGTGGGATCTCAGTGGGGAAAGACCGGTGTGTGTGTGCTGGAGGTGGGATCTCAGTGGGAAAAGACCAATCTGTGCGCTGGAGGTGGGATCTCTCTGACCAATGTGTCTGGAGGTATGATGTCTTACTCAAATAATGTTTTACCCCCAGTACTGTCTTTGAGTTCCAATGTTGTACCTTAGTAACATGTTTGAGATATCTTCTAGAAAGCCACTAAAATATTATGGAACAACCTGTTCTTATTTTTTAATTTGTAGCTTCTGGACAGGGATTGGGCATTAGTGGTCTTGGGTTATAATATGGAAAGACGGGTCTTTCAATAATAATGCTTTATTTCCAGGTAATAACCAGAGATCTTCCTAACATGGGAATTCAGTTACTGTATAGAGTATCAGCTTTGTTAAAGGCATTATAGAATGAGAGTTTATACGGTAGAACTTTGGCTGTCCGGAATTATGTCTGGGGCTGTGCTCTGTTACCTTGTTTGTAACCTCATCTTCTCACACCATTTAAAGTGAGGTCTTGGACTTTAGGATCAACATGCTCTGGGTAATGTGGCAAATCACAGCACACTGATCTGCATAACCTAGTATATTCAGTGCAAGCATAAAATGGTCATGAGTCCACTGCCATCTAATAGGCGATGACTCCAAAGGAGAAATAGTCAGCTGTTTTTCTATATGGTCCAAGGTCTATGGAGATATGTGAGAGAGATAAGGTCAATACATTGCACAACCTGGCAGGAGGCTTAGTGATCAGTATACAAACATCATGGGATGGCCATAGTGGAAGAAGCCATAGAAATAATCAGAATGATTAGACCATTACTCACCTCAGGGGTCATGTAGTATGGAGTTCCGAATCGTTCATTGATCGTCTCACCAGGGCTGTGCGGGCTCTCGTGGGCTGTGCGGGGTCTCACCAGGGGTCCGGAGGTGGGCGGCGTGGTTCCATATAAAGGAGGCAGAGATGCTTGACACATGCAGTGCCGCAAGTTCCCCAGAAGGCTGCCCTGAGGTCCCCAGCAAGCACAGGACCTTACGGCAGCTGCTTGTGTTTAAAAATGTAAAGCACCGATATCGAAGCTTAGTATGGTGACATTTTCAGGAATACAAGTACTCGTGAAAATGCCCAATATTGGCACCGATACCAGTATCAGTGCCAATACCGGTAATGGCAGGTGAGGCTCTCCCTCACTGGTTTAGGGGCGGGGGTTTGTGCCACCGCCCATCCCCCACCCGGAAAGTGCCATCCAAGGCAAATACTTTGTTTGCCTTGCGGCAGATATGCCCCTGAGTGTGGCGGTAGCTTCACTGCCAGGGTTCATTTTGTAAATGTCCGGAGTTCTTCTTTAATAGAAATGTGTTTCATCCGTGTCTTTACTTCCATGTGAGCAGTTTTGCTTTGTACTTTTAGTGCTGTATGGCCAATATGATTGCTGAAGAGCAGCTAAGCCACTCTACTTGCTGGTTCTGTTTATTTTCTTCAACCTCTTCCTATATTACATGTCTGCTCTGCTCTCTAATTAATATGGATTGCTCTTCATATCTTCTACTTTTTTTTGTCAAATGAAGCATGTTGATGGTAGAAGTTGCTTGTTACCCATAGCAACCACCTAGATGTCTGTTTTGGGTCAGTCCTAACGAGACATATTTTCTACTAAATCTAAAGCTTACTATGCCTATTTTCATAAATCTACAGCCAACCATACACTATGCAATCTGATTGTACAACCAACTTTTGATCTACCAGCATCTATGTAGTACAGGTGCCTGCCTTATTTTAAGAAAAATAATTGGATTGTTATAATTTGTGATGTCATATAATAAAAGACTATGCATAGGGATTGTATAATCAGATTGTATAATGTATGGCCAGCTTTAAGAAGATTGTACAGATTCGTAAATATATGACCAGCTTTACATTTACAAACACAGCTGAACAATCAGTTCCATTTATATTCAATCAGGTAGGTCAGCACAGTCAGTGGTAAAGCAGAATGTACAATCAGGCTGTAAAGGGCTCATTCATTGGGTAATTGTTTGACATTGTCAGCATTTCCCTGTAAGATTCATCTCTTCGGACTCTTTACACACACAATAACAGCTAAATGCGGGAGTGGGGGTGGGGGGTCTTACTTCAAGATGGCTGTCATGCAGATGGGATGCCCTTAAATGTCGCAAGGATTTGTGGTCTGGTTGCCATAATGATAGCCACCACTGTAGAAATTTGCAGGCGTGTGAATATGCCCCCATTCCTTTTTTCAGTCTATTATATGTATTTAAAGGATAAGTTCACTTGAAAACAAAGTTCACTTTCCTGGACTGCCATAATGATTTGAGAGCTTTCCTAATACACAGCCATTATAGAGGCATTCCCAAACAACTGAGCCTATAGGTACACTCTAAAGGGGAGGATTTATGAAGCCGTTTATTTCTTGTAATCTACTGTTTTGACACATTATTCCTTAATATGTTCTATCCGATTATTTCACATTTGTTGTCTGTATTCTGTGTATTCTTATAATCTAATTAGAATTATTAATAAAATATGCATTGTGGTGCATTGGCAGCCCATTCTCTTGAATTTTCTACCTTGATGTAATGCACTACAACGGTCTGAATTCCCCCTAAATCTTATCCAGTGGCAGCGGTGTATCTGGATGTTGTGACATCTTCGTCCTGGTGATCACTGTCCCTGGGACATGAGAGCAGCAATAGAGAGGAAATATCTCAATGGGGAGACTTGTTCAAGTGATAACTAAGAGGGGATTTCCCTCAATTTACCTTTTCCTGCTGATGTGTCTATAGGACAGGAGTTGAAGGGAAATATCTTAAATGGGATTCAGATGGCAAAGAAAAAAAAAAATATGGCAGTGTTTTAACCATCCCACTTTAACCCTTGTAAGACTTGGACACTTACTGATAAACTGGACTTCAAACTTCATTGTGTGTAGTGTCATGCCGCATCATTGCAACAAATGTGTCGTGTCCTTCCCTACCTTTGCACCTTTTTTGTTTTTACTTTTTAGCCAAAGAATACCCTTAAAAACCACTAGCCCTGTGTCATCTATACTTGATATAGTACTCTAAATCTCAGGGTTGTGAACTTCTGTGCCATTGTGTCTTGGAAGAGAGATTACTACAACACAAAGAGATGTATTTATAGGAATCCTGTGCTCCTCGGCTCCATCTAGTGGCCATATTGCAGTGTGACTTTACAACACAGATGTTTGCAAACAGCCCTGCAAACGTTTTATAAATACATTGCATGGTATAACTATATAAGATAACTTTATATAAAACCTGTCTAGTTGTACCAATTGAAGGGAAACCTCTGATAGAGGCAGGCAGTCCTTGGCTCCTTGACTGCATGCTACGCAATTCCAATTTAGATCCTCTGGAGTGTAAAGTCATTGTGCTGGAACTAATTTACAACCCAGGACTCAGAAACATCAGGGGCTTTCATTATTAATATTATACAGGATTTATATAGCGCCAACAGTTTGCGCAGAACTTTACAATATACGGAAGACATTACAGTCACAATACAATTTAAGACAAGATGGTAAGGAGGGCCCTGCCCCTGAGGGCTAACAATCTAAAGGGTGGGGGAAGTGATACATGACGAGGTAGCTGTGTGGGAATGAATTGTTTGAGAAAGAGTTCAGTGGTCATGTTGAGGTGGGATAGGCTTTATTGAAGAGATGAGTCTTAAGGGATCGCCTAAAGGCAGTCAGAGTGGGAGATAGACGGACAGGTTGGGGTAGAGAGTTCCATAGGATGGAAGAGGTTCTAGTGAAGTTCTGGAGGCGAGCATGGGAGGAGTTGACGAGGGAGCTTTCATCAAGGGTCTAATGCTTTGTGAAAGATTCCCAACTCAAAGAGCTGACATGCCCTCTTCACGCTTTAGGGAATTTCAGGAGGCCGATATCAATAGAGACACCCTTTTACATACTACATAATAGGAATGCCTGAGCGGGGTTTTTTTTATATATGAATATAGAACTTGATTAAATGGGGCCTTTCCATCTGTTACAGCTACTGTATGTTTGTTTTCTAGGTGCCCAAATCTTCGGACGTTGACACTATCAGGCTGTGCCCATGTGACAGATGAGCCTCTAATCCAGATCATAAAACTCTGCCCAGATCTTCAAAGTCTAAAGCTGGAGAACTGCTCTGGGGTAACCAATAGGCTGCTGGCTTTGGTTCCCTTGTTCTGTAAACGACTTCACACTCTACATTTAAACTTCTGCAGAAACCTAACAAAAAAAGGCCTCTTATTTGTGAAACAAGGATGTCCGGGGTTAACTTTACAGGCCGATCGGAGTGCAGACATGTTCACTGACAGGTTACCTAGTGACAGTACTCCTATAAAGAGGATACCAAGAAGACTTGTACTAAATGTGGACTGGCTGGAAGCATAGTACTTTCCTTGTTCACAATTACTACTTAAAGGGAACTTGTACCGAGACATATTGAGGCTGCCATACTTCGAAAGATGCCATTTACCTGGCTGCAGAGCTGATCCAGTTCCTTCCAAATAACAGACCTAGGACAAGTATGCAGCAAAAGTGAAATGAGAACTCCTGAGATTTATACTTCTGGTTATGGGTTTTAAACCCGTGGAATCCAATAAATCTGCAGGACAGCCAAGTAACTATCCACTTCAGAAGGAAAACTTAGCAATAGGAGCATCCATATTTAATTAAGCACAGGTTTCCTTTAAAGTGACCCATACAATTCCCCTTGCAATCCCATCAAATAGTACCTTTGTATAGACTGAGGCTGTTGTAAGCTAATTCTTGCTTCCTCTCCAGTCTCCCTGTATGGCAGCTGGAAAACACTAACTGCACCGATAGTGTACACTGTAGAATAGGGGCCTGCTCACTAAAGTGTTTTAGCAGGCTGGCTAATGGGTTGTAGCTGTCACCGTTTACATTTGTTTTTTTAAAAAGTTTATTCGGAGCCTACAATCTGTACACACCATTCAGGTTGCCGCACATCTAATGAAAACTGCCCCTAGTAATGGAGAGCTGATGTCATTGTATCTGGGAAGACTAATAGGCTGGATTTTTTTTCTACTGGCTGACCTCAGCATATAGAAAAAATAAGCATGTTTCATTTTAAGTAATTAAAAGTTCTAACGGGTAACTGTACTGGAAATGATTTTATGATACTATGGCACTAGGCACCTTTCCCATGCTGGAGATGATAAACGTAAAGAGGAACTTTACCCATATGTTCAAAATGACAACAAAGGCACCTTTAGAAATGTTTAGTAATGACAATCTACAAACACATACTTCTAGATAACTGCAGGCTTTGTATTCTTTGCATACCTTGTCTCTTTTTTTTTTTTTTTTAAACAAGATTTAATTTGATTTTTGCTTTTCAATATAAAACAAAAAGAATTAAAAAAAACAAAGCTATTATCTGCAGGTTGCATAAAAGGTGCATATCCCAATATAGTAAACATCATATTTGTAAGGTGCGTCAAGGTAGAAGTTAGGTCTCTTTTCTTCCCCAGTCTTCTGACAGTGGCCATTTTTACTAAGGGCAGGTTACTAAATCTCCCTTTACCTCCCAGAACTCTGGCACATGTGACTAGGACATGTGACCATGCACATCATCTCAGGGGAGGAAAATACCTTTCCCTGAGATCTCATAAAATTTCCCAGCAATGCTCTGCCGATGTAACCTTCCCAGGATGCAAAGCTTGGGCACATTACATCATTTGTGCCAAAATGGATCGGGAAGTGCAAAAAAAGAAATTGTAAGTAAAATAAAAATAAGTTTGTTTAGCTAATGAATGTAAGATGATTTCATATCAGCATGCAGAGCTGTATACTGATGTGATGTTTAGTCAAAGGGGGTAAAGGTCCACTTTAAGGAAGGGGCCTTGAAAGCATTCTATGCTATGTAAGCTATTAAATGGCAATGGTGGCCAACTTTCCTGATAGAAGGGGCCTCAAGTGTAGCCGCTGACATTACCAAAGAGCCACACAGAATATTCACTAAATATAATGTTATATAAAGCTTGTCAGAGATTGAAGACATACGACAGAAAATAATCCAAGACCATGGGTATGTTACATAAAATGGTCAGAGAGCGTAGACATGTTATAAGCGATGGCCAGAGTCTAGGCATGCTATAAGGCCCCTTTCACACAGGCAGTCTGATGAGGTCCGCTTGTCAATTTTTCAGGTCGGACCCAAATGGATGCCCAATTCTACTCTTTGGGCAGCCGGGTCTACATGGACGAGTGTAAGTTAACACCGTTACCCCCAACTTTGGCCAGGTCTGGAAAAAGAAATAGAACAGTGTCCCATTTTGATGGACCTGATCGTGCTGGACCGGGGGTAATCTGATGTAAATGGACACACATCTGTTTACATCAGATTCCCTACAGGCCGATATAGGGTCTGGTCATTTCATTTTTTTCCTGGACAGACACTGATGTCACAGCGGTAACATCCGATCCGTACTGCTCTGTTCAGGAGGGGATCCGTGTACGGGTCTCCTCCTGATCAGCCCGTGTGAAAGGGAGACTAAGGCTCTGTTCACACATAGGCGTATCGAATATGCCCGTTTGTCGCGCGTTTCTACCGCGATTCGCAGTAAAAAAACCCACGCGGCAAACGCGCGTTTCCGAGGGCTACCTGGCTGTATCCCAATGGAAACGCGCGACAAAAACGCCGCAAAGAAGCTCATGTACCTTTTCAGGCGTAGGCCGTTTTGTAGCGCGTTCAGACGGGCTGAAATACGGCAAGGTGTGAACCATACCCATAGAAAACAATGGGATTTTCATGTTTGAGCGTTTTGTAGAGTGTTCGTAGAGTGTTGAACGCGCTACAAAACGTACAGGTGTGAACCAGGCCTAAGGATGTGCTTGAGGAGACTGTCATAGACTGGAAAACGCTACATGAAACTTCTAGAGATCACCGCTATTACAGCCACAATGTTTCACCATTTTTGCTTAAAGCTCTTTTAAAAATGTCTTCTGCTACATTTAATGTTACTCTCAGCAAGACCAAAAAAAGAAGACAAAAGGGATGGATAGTAGAGAAGAAAAATAGGAGAGGGTGAAAGAAATAAACCAAACAATGTAACTACTAGACACTAGTCTAAAGAAGGTTTCCTTTTCTGGCTTGAGCAACCACATAGGATGAGGAAAACACAGACTGCTGGCTCTTGGGGCCCTGGGCATTAACTTGCTATTCTTTGATAATGAAATACTGGTAACCTAGGGGGATAAGTGAGTGACATATTTTCTGTGGCACATATGCTTTCTAAGAAAGATCACTGCATATAGTACAACATGCAGCCTTTATGGCAAAACTATTTATTGGCCCAACATTTAGAGAGAACTAAGGAGGTTTTTCACGTTTACAGATCATTGAGCTTTGACAACTCTGACATCCTACAGCATGTAGCAGATCTCATCACAGTAACCACCTGGATAGAGGGGGGATCTTTGTACCATTTCAATAATGGGGATAGAGGGGGGCTCTCCGTACCAAGAAGGTTTTATTAATTTTTTTAAATTTCAATAAAAAAACTCCAAGTAGAAAGCAGCATTTTCCGATAGGTTAGCAATGGTAGCCTTCAATGTTTGGTGTTCCTTTACATTTTAAACTATCTATCCAATTTCAGATGCTGTTTATTGACGTGTTGGGATGCAGGTACAAAAGAAAATGTAGAAGAGGGCAAATAATAAAAGAAGACATCCAAGGCACCGTTTCAATATAGAACATGAATTCTACTACAGCAATCCTAGAATAGTCAGGGAAGAATGTGCATCATAATAAAGGATGCATTGGATGCTTTCTATGTAGTTTGCTGGTAACAAATCACATTCAGATAGGAGCTGGAAAAAGCCATGAAAGTGAATTTCATTGGTTGCTGCAGAGCAACCAAAAGACATTCGGTTACTAAGCTATACAAGTAATTTATATCATGTTAGTTGTTTTTTTTTTATCTAATGTCAATTTCCTCAAAATATTGAATTGTTGAACTAAACACAAACCCTGAATAGCTCAATTTCTCTTCAGAGACGCCTCACAGAACCCAATACTAGTACTCTTACAAGCCACAGAAAGTCATATGATCACCTTGTAAAATGACTGAATTGAAACTACTTTTGGTTGAAACATACCACTGAGAGGTGACCTTGGTTATTGAGTAACTAGATGCCTTACGGTTACGTGAATAGAGACGCCATTGTACTTCAGGTGCACTGCCAGCCCATTCAAAATGAATTGACTGTCTTAAAACAATGCAATGCATAATGTGACTAGGGCCTCATTCAATTCCAAGTTTAATTGATCCTTATGAAGGCCTGTTTTACTGTTGATTAGTCTGATGTAGTCTGATTTACTTTGAATTTTATAGTTACAATAAACAGTATTGATAGTGTGTATTTGTTTTATTTAATATACTCAGAATAAAAACGTATTTGAACAAATCTGTATTTTGTCTGTGAAGGTTCTCATTCATCCAGGTCATGGAATATCTGTAAAACATAAATGAAAGCAACAGGACTTTGCTGTATTTTATTTAAGATGTTTCGCTGGTCATCATTCTGAATTGAGAAAGCTAGTCGGATGACCAGCGAAACATCTTCAAGAAAAATATAGCAAAGTCCAGTTACCTTTATTTATTTTTCACAGATGTGATTTTACACATGATTAAATCTGTATTTTATTTACTGCCAGGGATGTCCAAAATACCAAGAAAGAGTTGGATATAGCTTCAAGTTTAAACCATTACTGTCTTGCTGCCCAGCAGTTAGGAATGGCCTCCTCCTCCTCATCTGCACTGATAGGGTTATGCTAGAAACCCTTTTAATTCACTACACACAATAGCACAGGGTCAAAATTCAACAAATATATCTTCATCTGATTGTATAGTCTCCTTCAGGGCAAAGTCCTACTTGATGGGGTAAGATTGAATAGATTGTTTAGGTAGGGCCTTAAATCACATGGTTTTGGCATGGAGATAGTACAATCAAACTTGCATGTATGGACAGATTAAAACCTTGTACCTTTTTTAGATCCATGACTTAACAAGTTTCCGTAAACACATTATCAGTATGCTGGGAACAGTACAATGTGTGCTCTGCATGAGGATTGGGCAGCTTATTTTTTTGCATACAGTAAATGTAAAGAATTATGAGAGGCCTTAAATGGGAAACTATAAAAGATTTGGGATGCTTTAAAGTTATGATTCAGATCTGTTATTCTAATTAAATAAAATCTTTATTTCACAAATATGCACCAGTGTCAGAGCAGAAACTGTTTTCTTTCGGAATGTTTACCCCTAATTGAAACCGTATAGAACCCTACAGAGGAGGAAGTGAGAGGAGAGGAGTTTTTCAGTTATGTTCCTCTTTAAATTATTGACCTCACTAAACAGGCTGTTATCA